TTTTGGACAGTCCCAGAAAACATGAGGATAGTTTCTTGCGGTGCAGGTCTAAGTTTTCCAAATTCACAATGTTGACATGACGGGTCGTGATCCGGAACAAAATGCGCAATCATTGCATTATGGTATAGAGTCTGAGATGTGAAATTGAAAATAAAACTCTGTAGGTTATTTTTCAACTTCGAGATTTTGAAAATTTTGTAAAAGTTGCAATCTCTCTCAGGATCTGCGTTGTTGTAATTTGTTAGGGCGACGTGCTTATTCAAACCAGACGTCGGCCCAATCTCTGACTCAACATCATCCATAATATTTCTTATCCTAACACTGCCTTTAACTATTTTCCTAAAGAAGGTAATGATAGGTGTGCAAACTTTGTCCTTGTTCAGTGAATAATGCCTCTTCACGCTTCTATGTACCGATTTTAGATAAAATAATTCCAATAAGTTCGGTCGGAACCCCAGGTATAATGTTAGACTATTTTCTGAGAAAGTATCGCTGTTAACCCATTAGTGACGAGACAAAAAAAATTTTCTGATCTTGCTGAAAAATACAGGGTTAACTCATTATAGTGTCCATAGAATAGATCTAAAGTTTCAATTTTTTTCAATAAAGGGTTGTGGAGATACAGAGGCCGGCCAATTTTGTCCGGCTCGGACCAGGTCAAAATTGACCGCCTTGAATTAGATATGATACAAAGGGGGTGTATATATATACCATACAGGGGGTGGGGTGTATATATATACTATACAGGAGGGTGTGTTTGTAAATATACTATATTGGGGTAGGGTGTATACTGCACAGTGTGTGCCTAAAAACCAGCATTTTGACCAGGCGGTCAAAATTGACCTGGTCCAAGACGGTAAATTTTGACCGGGCAGAAAAAAGACAAAAAAGAGCAGTAAACATAAACTTTTTACACTGAACGAATCATTAGCATAGAACTAACATCAAATGCAAACTTTTCATAGAAATAAAAAAATTTTGAAAACAATTTTTCACAGATTGATTTCCTAAAAAACCCAACCCTGATCGCGTTTATGTAAGATTCAATCTCAATCATTCCTAAGCCTCCTTGATGTATTGCATTGTATACCGTGTTTATTGTTGTTTTCAAACTCCTCATTTCTGAGGGTTTGCAATTGAGTCTCACTAAATGGGATTACAGGGGCGAAAAACCCTATTTGTGAAAGGAGATATGTTTTTGTGATATTAATCCGACCAACAATTGAGAGTTTAGATTTTGTCCAGAATAACGACATTCCTCTAATTTTCACCATGAGCTTGTTAAAATTAGTTTCCTCCAAATGAAAATTTTCACTTATATCCAACCCTAAGATTGTTAAATTTTTCACAATTGAAAAGCCAGTTTCAGCAATATTTCCAGCAAAATTAGCTGAAACATTAATTGGTAAAACCTGAGTTTTTTCTACGTTTATTTTTAAGCCGGATAGTTTACCAAAATCATCAAGTATATTTTTAACATTCAAAATATTTTCAGGTTTGCCGTTTATGATTATGGAGACGTCTTCTGCATAACTACTGTTACTGATATGAGAGCCGTTTTCAAAAACTGGATGAACAACACCTAAATCCAGAGTCAGCTTCCAGAGCAGAGGTTCCAGTGCTAATATGAAGATCAGACCTGACGGTGAGTCGCCTTGTGCTACTCCGCACAATATCTCAAAAAAATGGATAACACCAGACTCAGTTATAATGCCAGCAATTTTCTTTTTCATTGTGGTTCTGACTATTTTTATCATATAATTGGAATAGTTAAAAAATTTCAAAATTTCAAGGATATATTCGTTCGATACAGAATCAAAAGCTTTTTTGAAATCGATTGCCAATAGCAAGTTTTCCTTTCTTAATGCATTGTAATATATTCATTAGAGCTTCATGTATGACCTTTGATTTTGAATAGGCTTTTTGTGAATTGGATGTGTTTGAGTCAATTACGCGTTTTAGCCTATTGGCAAATGCTTTCAAAAATACCTTATATACATTACTTAAAAGACTTATTGGACGCCAATTTTTAATTTGTGTACAATCTCCCTTCTTAGGAATAAGCTTAATACTTGCAGTTCTGAAATTAGGATAAAGTTCTTCCTTTTCAACCATAATTTCAAACCCCTTGGTTACAGGATGTCCAATTAAAGGCCATAGAAACTTAATTATAGCGTAGGTGTATCCATCTAAACCAGGACTCGATCCTATCTTTGTTTCTCCCAGTGCTTTTGTAAGCTCATAATGTGTAATTGGAACATTGTCTCTCTCAGAGTCTAAATTAGATAATTTTTTCGATTGCACATACCCACTGTTCATAATTTCTGGAGTTAAAAATTGTTCAAGACTTAAGTTTTTTTCCGGAATGTTGCTATAAATGTTTTTAAAATAATTACATAAATCAGAATTTCGTTCGTCATCATTTTCATAATCCACTGTATTGCCCTGATTATCACATTTTTTAAGCTCTGGCATTCTATGAACTTTGAGAAACCAACTAAATCTTTTTGTACACTTGCTAAAGCACAAAAGGGTAATGATTCTTTAAAAAAATATTAAAACATATCTGGCTTCTAGATATATGGAATTTAAATGTAAAAACAGGAGCTGCTACTAATGGAATGTGTAAGTCTTATAAACCACTCTTTAACATTTTATAGCCAAAAATTGATTTATTTGCGTTGGGGTTTCTTCTTATCTTCTTTTTTTCTTTTCTATTCTTTCTTTAAAATTCACCTTTTTTGTTTCATTCCTTCTTTTTTCTTATCTTTTAAAATTACTTTTTGTTTTAAGTTGTGTATTTATTAGTTGTTTATTTAAAAAATAACATATATATATAAATCTTTGGAGGGCCAGAAATTCAAACAAATAGAAATGGTTAGACTGTATTCCTGGGTAGTGATCATTTAGTTGGAAATAAAATCAAATGTAACAGTAGTTTCAACTTTTTTAAAGATTATTTTGAAACTGTAAATTGCATGATCCCCAAATTTTGTGAATTTTCCCTAACAGACAAATGACATGTTTAATCAAAACATTAAAAGCCCTGTTTTGACCCAGGGATTTGATTTGTTGATACAATACATCTTATCTTTAGAAAAGTAACACAATTTAGAAACCCAGCCTTTTAAGGTTAGAAGAAATCTTTATAAATAGCAAATCAAAGTCTTGAATAAAATTTTTTATTTGTTTTGTATCTGTAAATGTACTTCTCTCTAGATTTCTCTAGAAGAGATTTGCTCTGAATCCCTGAGGTGACAACAACGTTTTCTGAAACTGGAGATTATAACTCAGTAGACTGCATATAAAAATATTCCAAAGAAATTTTTTTTAGGTGCTTTTAACTTAAAACCTGATGGTTCCTTTTCAGCAGTGTGTTCAAGTACGCTTTTGTTGTAACAATGATGGTATTATGTAGGTTTGTAGTGTTTAGATATCAAGATTTTTAATCTGCTTAGTGCTTATTTCTCCTCTTCATAGTTCTGCCTAATCCTGTTTTATTCTGGGTAGTGATTACTTAACACTATAAAGGCTGGGGGGTCTGAATAATGTAAAGAAAAAGGCCTTAGTGAATAGGTAAAGGGTTGAAATGCATGTTCATAGCCCAATTTTTCAAGGCCAGCTCATTAAAAAAGTTACTACAAGCTATTTCATATTTCTTGTCTAAGGTTACTTTAACCTTATTTAAAGCTTTAAAGACATCGTTTTCCCCAAACAATCTTAACCCTTCCCAAATTCCCAAATTTACAAGGACATTGTTCAACCACACTATGCATTGATTTTAATTTAGATGAAACTTCATTCAATAAACATCTCAATTGAATATTAACCTTACCACAGCTTAAATCTGAATGGCACTTCAAGTAACTTACAATTAGAACTTGTACAAATGGATTTAAATTTACTTACACCAACACAAATGTAAAAAAGCATCTTTTCTTGCCAAATTTATTTGCTTCATATGTTGATATAACTAATAAATTCCATATAATACACAATTTTTTCCAATTGATGATAGTTGATGATTATTTATTCTAAGAATATTGGTATTTTCCCATCTGACTGTAGAGGTATTTCCCCTTCTAAATGAAAAGGTACTGCTCCATCTAACTGTGTAGTAGTTATATTTTGTTCAATAGTTATTGAGGGTAGTTCTGCTGTAGAAGTTGCTTTAAAAATAATTGACATTTCTCCTTCTAATTGAATAGGTACTTCTCCATCTAACTTTATAGCAGTTGTTCTTGGTTCAATAGTCATTGATGTTGCTTTTGTTGATTTTACCAGGATTGGAATCTCTCCCAATAACTGAATAGGTATTTCTCCATCTAACTGTATAGCAACTGTACTTGGAACAATAGTCATTAATGTTGCTTTTGTTGATATTATCCAAATTGGCATCTCTCCTAACCATATAGCAGTTGTGGTTGGTTCAATAGTCATTGATGGTAGTTCTACAGTAGTAAATGGAATTAAAAATGTTTTTAAAAAAATTGGTATTTCTCCATCTGTTTGAATTGGTATTTCTCCTTTTGTTATTTCTGCTGTTGTTGTTTCTTGATAAATTAATGATGTTTTGTTTATTGAAACAGGAGTTTCTAAAGTTGTTTTGATTGTTTGAATCAAAATTGGTGTTTCTCCTTTTTTTATTAAAGATGTTGTATATTGATCAAGTCATGTTGTTTTGCTTATTGTAATAGGAGTTTCTAAAGCTGTTGAAGTTGTTTCCGTCAAAATTGGAGTTTCTCCTTTCTTTATATGAGATGTTGTTGTTGATTGATCAATTGATGTTGTTTTGCTTAATGAAACAGAAGTTTCTAGAGTCGTTGAAGTTGTTTAGATCAAAATTGGTCTTTCACCTTTTATTATATGAAAAGTTGTTGTTATATGATCAAATGATATTGTTTTGCTCAATGAAACAGGAGTTTCTAAGGTTGTTGAAGTTTTTAAGATCAAAATTGGTGTTTCTCCTTTTGTTATATGAAAAGTTGTTGTAGATTCCACAATTAATGTTGTTTTGCTTATTGAAACAGAAGTTTTTGAAGTTTTTGTGGATGTTTGGATTAAAATTGGCGTTTCTCTTTCTATTATAGGAGAAGTTGTTGTTGAATGATCATTTGATGTTGTTTTGCTTATTGAAACAGAAGTTTCTGAACTTGATGCAGTTGTTTGGATCGAAATTTCTCCTTTTGTTATGTGATATGTTATTGTTGTTTGATCAAATAATGTTGTTTTACTGAATGAAACAGGAGTTTCAAAAGTTGTTAAAACTGTTTTGATTAAAATTTGCATTTCTCCTATTATTGTATCATAAGTTGTTGTTAAATGATCAATTGATGATGTTTTGCTTATTGAAAAAGAAGTTTCTAAAGTTGTTGAAGTTGTTTGGATCAATATTGGCATTTCTCCATTTAGTATATGAGAAGTTGTTGTTGAATGATCAATTGATGTTGTTTTACTTATTGAAACAGGAGTTTCTAAAGTCAGTGAAGTTGTTTGGATCAAAATGGGCATTTTTCCTTTTGTTATATGAGAAGTTGTTGTTAAATGATCAATTGATGATGTTTTGCTTATTGAAAAAGAAGTTTCTAAAGTTGTTGAAGTTGTTTGGATCGATATTGGCATTTCTCCTTTTGTTATATAAGAAGTTGTTGTTGAATGATCAATTAATGATGTTTTGCTTATTGAAAAAGAAGTTTCTAAAGTAGTTAAGGTTGTTTGGATCGAAATTGGTATTTCTCCTTTTGTTATTTGAGAAGTAGTTGTTGAATGATCAATTGATAATGTTTTGCTCAAAGAAACAGGAGTTTCTAAGGTTGTTGAAGATTTTAAGATCGAAATTGGTGTTTCTCCTTTTCTTATGTGAGAAGTTGTTGTAAATTCATCAATTGATGTTGTTTTACTTATTGAAACAGGAGTTTCTAAAGATGTTGAAGTTGTTTCGATCGTTATTGGCATTTTTCCTTTTGTTGCATGAGAAGTTGTTGTTGAATGATCCATTGATGTTGTTTTACTTATTAAAACAGGAGTTTCTAAAGCGTTGAAGTTGTTTAGATCAAAATTGGTCTTTCTCCTTTTGTTTGGTGAGAAGTTGTTGTAAATTCATCACTTGATGTTGTTTTACTTATTGAAAAAGAAGTTTCAAAAGTTGTTGAAGTTGTTTGGATCGATATTGGCATTTCTCCTTTTGTTATATGAGAAGTTGTTGTTGAATGATCAATTGATGTTGTTTTGCTTATTGAAACAGGAGTTTCTAAAGTTGTTGAAGTTGTTTGGATCGATATTGGCATTTCTCCTTTTGTTATATGAGAAGTTGTTGTTGAATGATCAATTGATGTTATGTTACTTATTGAAACAGGAATTTCTAAAGTCGTTGAAGTTGTTTGAATCAAAATTGGTCTTTCTCCATTTGTTATGTGAGAAGTTGTTGTAAATTCATCAATTGATGTTGTTTTGCTTATTGAAACAGGAGTTTCTAAAGTTGTTGAAGTTGTTTGGATTGATATTGGCATTTCTCCTTTTGTTATATGAGAAGTTGTTGTTGAATGATCAATTGATGTTGTTTGGCTTACTGAAAAAGAAGTTTCTAAAGTTGTTGAAGTTGTAAGGATTGATATTGGCATTTCTCCTTTTGTTAAATGAGAAGTTGTTGTTGAATGATCAATTGATGTTGTTTGGCTGACTGAAAAAGAAGTTTCTAAAGATGTTGAAGTTGTTTCAATCGATATTGGCATTTCTCCTTTTGTTAAATGAGAAGTTGTTGTTGAATGATCAATTGATGTTATTTTACTTATTGAAACAGGAATTTCTAAAGTCTTTGAAGTTGTTTGATTCGAAATTGGTCTTTCTCCATTTGTTATGTGAGAAGTTGTTGTAAATTCATCAATTGATGTTGTTTTACTTATTGAAACAAGAGTTTCTAAAGTCGTTGAAGTTGTTTGGATCGTTATTGGTATTTCTCCTTTTGTTATACTAGAAGTTGTTGTTGAATGATCAATTGATGATGTTTTGGTTATTGAAAAAGAAGTTTCTAAAGTTGTTGAAGTTATTGGGATCGATATTGGCATTTCTCCTTTTGTTATATGAGAAGTTGTTGTTGAATGATCCATTGATGTTGTTTTACTTAATGAAACAGGGGTTTCTAAAGTGGTTAAAGTTGTTTGGATCAAAATTGGTCTTTCTCCTTTTGTTATATGAGAAGTTGTTGTTGAATAATAAATTGATGTTTCTTTGCTCAATGAAACAGGAGTTTCTAAACTTGATGCAGTTGTTTGGATCAAAATTGGCATTTCTCCTTCTGTTATTTCAGAAGTCGTCATCGATTGATCATTTAATGTTGTTTTTTCTGCAGTAGTTTTTTCTCCTATTATAGTGTTTTCTCCTTTAATAGTTGTTTCTTCTAAAGTAGTTGTTTCTCCTTCTGTAATTGTTTCTCCAGTTGTATTTGTTTTTTCTACCATAGTTGTTTCTCCTCCAGTTGTAGTTGATTTATCTGTATTAAATATTTCTCCTGCAGTAGTTGTTTCTCCAACATTAATTGTTTTTTCTGCAGTAGTTGTTTCTCCTGCAGTTGTAGTTGATTTACCTGTATTAGATATTTCTCCTGTAGTAGTTGTTTCTTCTGCAGTTGTTGTTTCACTTACAGAAGTTGATTTACCTGTAGTAGACATTTCTTCTGCAGAAGCTGTTTTTCCTGCAGTAGTTGATTTTCCTACTGTAGTTGTTTCTCCATTAGTTGTAGTTGATTTACCTGTATTAGATATTTCTCCTACTGTAGCTATTGTTCCTGTAATAGTTGTTTCTCCTGCATTAGTTGTTTCTCCTGTTTTAGTTGTTTCTCCTTTTGAAGTGGATTCTCCTGTATTAGTAGTTTCTTTTGTAATAGTTGTTTGTTCTAATGTAGCAGATGTTTCTTCTACAGCTGTTGTTTCTCCTACTGTAATTTTTTCTCCAGTAGTAGTCGTTTTTTCTGCAGCAATTGTTTCTCCTGCAGTTGTAGTTGATTTATCTGTAGTAGATATTTCTTCTGTAGTAGTTGTTTCTCCTGCAGTTGTTGTTTCATCTTCTGTACTTGATTTACCTGTATTAGATATCTCTCCTGCAGTAGATGTTTTTTCTAAAGTAGTTATTTTACCTACTGCAGTTGTTTCCCTTGTAGTAGTTGTTTTACCCATAGGAAAGAGTGTATTCTCTGCTTATTCAAAATTTATTTGGCACAATGAATCTTTAAATTTCAATATCAAGTATTTTAAAACTGTAAACATGTCATTGAAAATTTAGCTGCTCTTTTGATAATATTTATATCCTTTTTGACATTTGTAAAGCGCACAAATTTTAACAGTTAAATCCAAAAGGTAGTTTATTTGCTTAATTTGGAAAAATATAAAATTTGACTGACAAAATTCCTACAAAAATATTTTTAATAAAAGAAATAATTTGCAATTTATAATGGTGAAAAATTTTACTAACTGACAATGAAGTAACTTCTTATTTTTCTTCAGTATTGAAAAAGAATTTCTCGTACAATTTTAAGAGAATATTATTATTGTAATAGAAAATATAATGATTGTGATTGAATATTTAATTAGTACAAATTAAGCTAGGGTCTTAGATATAATAATAAGAACTTTCAAAAATTCCTTGTTTTCTGCTGATACAGTAATGGCAAATAGATAGATCACCAATATCACAAGATGTATCTCTAGCCTTTGGGGTCTCATTTTGTCTGTAAGTTTAATAGAGTGTAACTTTATTATACATCAAATTTATCTTATAAATATTTGTTCAAGACTTAATCATTTATTTCTTTGACATTATATTTAACCAGCAATATTTTTAATTAAAAAGAAAAATGAAACAAATCCCCTATCACTGTTTGACCATCACTTAGAGCAAGTTAACCCTGAACAGGCTGGGGGGCGGGCATTTGGGGCCCCCCTGACCTTTTGTTTGTTCTAGAACTCTCATTTTTGACACTATCACTGTAAAATTTTGTGACTTTTAATGAATAGTAATTTAAATTGTTAAAAAATATTTTTTTTAAATTTTAGGGTTGGGTAGAGGGCAGAAAAAAAGTCTGGTCTGTGAAAAAAAATCTAAAATAGCCCATAACTTTTTGTGACTAAAGCTACAGATCTAAAAACTATATTTTTGAAAATTGTATGTAGAAACTGTCACACATTGATATTTAATTTAAACAACAAAAAAAACTATTAAAGTTACTGGTCTAATTTTTTTTCTTTGAGCTTGCCATGAAAAATTTAGCGTGAACATGCATTTCAACCCTATACCTATTCTCTAAGGCCTTTTTCTAGGGGGGGGGCGCCAAATTCCCCCCCCCCAGGCTATACATAGATTCAGACCCCCCAGCCTTTATAGGGTTAATGCTTCCAGTAACAGTGTTAGGTTAATATTGGATGAATTTGTGTACTATTCATAATTTGTGTATAGTTTTGTGCCTTAATATAAAGACTGCTTCCAGATTCATCTAGTTTGTAAACTTGATAATGAAATGCTTGCTTCGTTTTGAGTGTCCATTGTCAAAGTCTTAGGAATAAGATTACTTATGATTTATTAGGTATTTCAGAAAGCAATGGTCTTGAAAGTTCTAATGAAAACACATTTGGTGATATGCTTTCTGTAAGGGGAAGTGCAAATTCTCTATGAAGTATATAAACAAGTTACAAGAATTAAGAAGTGTTCATATGAATGTTTAATGTTCATTTTCAGTATTTAATTTTAAGACGAATATTAACCCTATTCCTGCTGGGGGAAACAATTCATTTGTAACAATACAGCATAACAATTCTCTGGACAATTGAATATGATTTATACCTGATAATTGTTTGGGTAACAGATCTTAACTGAATGCGTGGAGCTGGGTTAATCAGATTGTAAACAGTGCAGTACACTGATAAACAACATAGTAAAAAGGGGCAACCAGTACCCACGGATTAATATTTACTGTAATTGTACAATGTATAATACATTATACAACAATAATGTCCTATTAGTATTACCTTTTGATACTGTCTGTCCAGAACTTTGCCTCTGTCTTAGTAAAAGGGGAGGGGGGATTTAAATCTATCACAAATAGAATTACCATATCAGAATATTAGTACTTTAAATTGTAGTTTTGGGATCTTGACCACACATAGATGGTTTCGATGGAATGTAGTGAATATAGACCTGTCTCATTCCTTAATACTAGCAGAGAATAGGAATATATGTTGTATCTAATTGTACTGATTCTTGGATGGCTGCAATGAAGATGAGGCAGATTTCTGAAAAGGAGAAGACTGAAAGACTCCATGATAGTGTGGTATCCTTGAACATAGCTTTCAAGGAGCAGAATCTATGTACAAACTGGTGCAGGAATCGATTGAAGTACTTCAATCCAACAGATTGGATAATGGAATGGATAAACTAGCAAGGTACATTATTAGAATTGATCAATCATTAACAGAGAAGATGGAGATGATTCAGGAGTGGTTTGTGGATATGACTTATCATCCAAATCCAGAAATTCCCAAAGGAGATTGTCAACTCAATCCAAGAGGTTATCGATGTCAGCACTCCTGTGATTGAGGTGGATTCAATTAGAAATGAGGTTAGAGAGCTTAGACAAACTGTAGCTCCAAGTAGACATGCAACAGAAGGTTTAGGAGGCCTGAGGTCAATCTCTCTGAACAAGTTATAATTAATTCGATCATTATGGTCCGTGCAGATGATAAAGCACCTCATAAGGATACCATAAACCTGGAGAGAAGTTAGAGAGCAGGAGATTGTAAGAAAAGGAATAGAACAAGTCAAGATGCAGCTTAGACAATTGACTCAGAACACAATACATACTGAACCTGTAGACATCACATTGATCAAGAAATGCAAGACTGTAGATGTAACTGTAAGAAATGTCCAGAGAGCTCTTCAGAAATATGTTAAGTTCCCTGGAATGGATTCTGAGTATTCTGATTCCATAAATGAGTTGCTTGACACTGCTGAGAACTGGTGTTTAAGAACAGAAAAGTTATACAACAAGGACAAAATCCATTGTATTAATATGTCCAAGTGTGATACAGCTGATGTAGGGGTATTTCCTTACAATGCTAATGTCACTATTTATGAATTCTAGGAATCTGTTGAGATTGTATACTTGGGTTGGGTAGTTCTGTACAGAAAGCTAATAGATTGTATAACCGTCATTTGTCTGAAGAAATTAAAAGCAAGTTTGATTTTTATATTGAAATGAATCAGTAGTTGGTTCAACATTACGGTGGGGTATCAAGAATAATAAATGATATAAAAAATATTTTTCCATCCATCCTAAACCCCTAACCCTAATGATATTCATGCCAGATTTTCATTTTTGTATATATCTATGGAGCTCTTCAAAGATTGGAGGGACTGTCCAAGGTTAGTTGAATTAACAAGTTGTTTGTACTATGAGGCTTTATTGAGCAGCCTGTCCCTGGTTCTACCCCCAAGGACTTATACAATGTGGATCACAGAGATGACAAAGAATGATTAAGATTATAAGAGTCCTGCCGGTTTCATGGCTTATCTAGTTTTCAAGAATTTCTGCATTATATGAGTGAAGGAAAGAAATAGGGCTTACCTTAAATGTCTTATTGTTTTGGCGAACAATTGTATATAGTTCTTTTAACATATTTTTAGTATTATTCAACAAATAAAGATTTTCTTTCTTTGTAGCCAAACTAACTGCTTGTATTTACTCAGACAGATTGGAAAGAGTGAGAAGTAGTTAGGCTTTGGTCTGCTCAGCAAGCACCAGATATTGTAGGGATGTAAATAGATCATTGAATAGTAGGGCACTCATTGTGATCGCTTTATATTCAATATCAATTTTTTTTGACCAGAGAACTTTTAAATATTGAGAAATCATGTCTATGGGAAGTGAAGATATAAGTGGAGGGAGGAGAAGACATTAAGCCTCTTAAAGTGATGGGGATCTTTTGAGTAGTATTTTAATCCCAGCTGATNTGGCCAGAGAACTTTAAAATATTGAGAAATCATGTCTATGGAAAGTGAGGTGGTGAGAAGACATTCAGCCTAAAAACAGTGATGGGGATCTTTTGAGCAGTATTTTAAACCCAGCTGATTATGTTTAAATAGATAGATTAACTAATTTTTATACTTCTAAATGCATTTCAACCCCTCATATTAATGTTACGGTATTATGGGGACCTGTTTAGAAACTAGATTCCAGATCTGAAGGGAGTTATAGTTCTTTTGATATTAGACTGAGAAACAATTATACGTTCACTCAAAAATTGCTGTTTTTGAATGTGGGAAGCTTACTAAAATTCAGTATATTAGACATTGTGCATTGTTTGCAGAAATCAAACAAAATATTTCCAAAATTTAACTTGCAAGGGATAATTATGCTTTGGTTTGGGAAGCCAAACGAAAATCCCAGGCCCGTAGCCAGGATTTGACCAGGTGGGGTGCAATATGACGCCCCATATGCGAATTTTTTTTTTTTTTTTGGGGGGGGGGGTTTTAATGATTTTTTAAACAATGTTTGGTTTAGTTTTACAGTGGTATATGTTTGTTTTTATTACATTGTCAATGCATACTATAAAGGCTAACCTTTTAAACAAGTGTATTTGAGCCCGCTTTTAAGGGAGTACTGCTTAACTAACAGAGTCAAGTAATCATTTGTTACTTTGACTTTGCAATATGAAAATGATATGATCTTATTTCTTATTCATTTAAAAAAAGCTTTTCAAGGTTCAAGGGGGGTGCTATGGAAATGCCTCGAAAAAACAGACTCTTAAAATATAGCACACCGGTCAAGGGGGGGGGCCTAAAACTCTGAAAGTGTCAGGAGATTACCATTTCATTTCCATGGGACTCTATGCATATAATCAATAAATCATACTGTTTTAATTAGACTTAAACAACTATTTAATGGCTATGAGTAAATTTTTATGTTTGATGTATTATATTTAATCAACTGAGTGTACTGATCAACTGTTAGTTAGCCTGCAATAGGTCACAGGAGAGACATGACTCAGGGGATGAGTTTAGAGAGTTCACAAAAACTCTGTCACACTTTAAATGAGTAATGCATAAATAGATTATAATTTGGTTTGGAAATCAATTCTTACTCGGGCTATATAATTTATAACTAGATATGTGACAAAAATAATACTGAGATGTAGCTAGGGTGACAGTCTGCTCAGAATGAACCATACAGTGGTTGGATATAGATAGATCGTTAAACAGTAGGAAGGTCAGTAAAATTGAAAGCGATATTTTTTTTTTCTTTGTCAATCAAACAATAGGATCATATGTTAGATAACAATCAATCCCTACCTGCAGTAGACATTCCTCCAATTGTAGACATTCCTCCAATTGTAGATGTTTCTCCTGCAGTAGTTGTACCTCCATTAGTAGTTCTTTCTCCTAATGCATTTGTTTCTCCTGCAGTAGTTGTTTCTGCTGAAGTTGTTGGCTCTCCTACAGTAATTGTTTCTCCTGAAGTAGTAAATTCTCCTGCAGAAGTTGTTTCTCTTACTGTATTGGTTTCTCCTGCAGAAGTTGTTTCTCCTGTAGTAGTTGTTACTCCTATTGAAGTAGTTGTTTTTTCTTCTGTTGTTGTTTCTCCTGCAGTCGTTGTTTCTCCTACTGTGGTTGTTTCTCCTATTATAGCTGTTTCTCTTACTGTAGTGGTTTCTCCTACTGTAATTGTTTCTTCTACTGTAGCAGTTGTTTCTCCTGTAAAAGTCTTTTTTCCAGCACTAGTTGTTTCTCTAAGTATAGTGGTTTCTCTAGCAGTAGTTGTTTTTCCTGTAGTAGTAGTTATTCCTGTAGTATCTGTTACTCCTACTGTATCAATTGTTACTCCTTGTGTTGCTGTTTCTTCTGCAGTAGTTGTTTCAACTGCAGTAATTGTTTTTCCTGCTAGAGTTGTTTCTCCTGCAGTAGTTGTTTCACCAGTAGTAGTTGTTTCTGCTGAAATAGTTGTTTCTACTGAAATAGTTGTTTCTCCTACTTTAGTTGTTTCTCCTACTCTGGTTATTTCTCCTAAATTAGTTGTTTCTCCTGCAGTAGTTTTTTCTCTTACTGAAGGGTTTCTCCTGCAGTCGTTTATTTTCCTGTTGTAGATGTTACCCCTGCTGATGTTTCTTGTACTGTAGTTGTTTCTCCTGCATTTGTTGTTTTTTCCGCAGTAGTTGTTACTCCTACTGATGTTTTTTTCCCTGTATTAGTTGTTTCTCCTGCAATAGTTGTTTCTTCTACTGTAGTTGTTTCTCCTCTAAAAGTTGTTACTCCAGCAGTAGTTGTTTCTCCTGCAGTAGTTGTTTCTCTAATTTTTGTTGTTTCTCCAACTGTAGTTGTTTTTGCTGCATTAGTTTTTCCCCCTGCATAAGTTGTTTCTCTTGCAGTGATTGTTTCTCCTGCAGTAGTTTTTTTTCCTATTGTAGCTGTTGTTTCTCCTTTTGTTGTTTTTTCTTCTGCAGAAATTGTTTCTTGTACTGATGTTGTTTTTCCTACTGTAGTTTTTTCTTCTTTGGTAGTGGTTTCTCCTTTTGAAGTTGTTTTTCTTACTGTAGTTGTTTCTCCTGCTGCAGTTGCTTTTCCTGCAGTAATTGTTTCTCCTACTGTAGTTTTTTCTCTCACTTTAGTTGTTTCTTCTACTGTAGCTGTTTCTCTTGTTGTAGTTGTTTCTACTACATTAGCAGTTTCTCCTACTTTAGTCATTTCTCCTACTGCAGTTGTTTCTCCTACTGTAGTTGTTTCCCCTTTAGTAGTTATTTTTCCTACTGTAGTTGTTTCTCCTGTAGTGCTTGTTTCAACTGCAATAGTTGTTTCTCCTACTGCAGTTGTTTCTCCAGCAGCAGTTTTTTCTCCTGCAACAGTTGTTATTCCTGCAAATGTTGTTTCTTCTACTATGGTTGTTACTCCTGCAGTAGCTGTTTCTCGAACTGTAGTTGTTTCACCTGCAATTGTTGTTTTTCCTGCAGTAGTTGTTTCTCCTTTTATATTTGTTTTTCCTGCAGTTGTTGTTTCTCCTTCACTTTTTGTTTCTCAAACTGTAGTTCTTTTTCCTGAAGTAGTTATTTCTCCTGTAGAAGTTGTTTCTCCTGTAGCAGTTGTTACTTCTACTGTAGCAGTTGTTTTTCCTTCTGTTTTTGTTTTCCTGCAGTAGTTGTTTCTCCTGTAGTTATTACTCTTTTTATAGTTGATTCTCCTACTGTAGTAGTTTCTCCTCCTTCTATAGTTGATTCTCTTACTGTAGTGGTTTTTCCAATTGTAATGGTTTCTACTACTGTAGTAGTTGTTTCTCCTGAAAAAGTCTTTTCTCCTGCAGTAGTTGTTTTTCCTGAAGTAGTTGTTACTCCTACTGTAGCAGTTTTTTCTCCTACTGTTGTTGTTTCTCCTTCAGTAGTTGTTTCTCCGGCAGTATTTGTTTTTGCTTCTGTAGTTGTTTCTCCTGCATTTGTTGTTTCTTCTACTGTAGTTGTTTCTCCAATAGAAGTAGTTTCTCCTGGTGCAGTTGTTTCTCCTACTGTTGTTGTTTCTCCAGCCGTTGTTGTTTCTCCAGCAAATGTTGTTTCTCCTACTGTAGTTGTTTCTCCTGGATTAGTTTTTTCTCCTGCAGTAGTTGTTTCTTCTTTAGCAGTTGTTTTTCCTACTGTAGTTGTTTCTCCTGCTTTAGTGGGTTTTCCTGCTGTTGTTGTTTCTCTTTTACCTGTAATTTCTTCTGAAGTTGTTGTTTCTCCTAATGTTGTTGATTCTTCTTTTGTAGTTGTTTCTCCTACTTTAGTGGTTTCTCCTACAGTAGTTGCTTCTCCTAATGTAGTTGTTTCTACTACTGTACTTGTTTCTCCTGAAGTATTTGTTTCTTCTACCATTGTGGTTTCTCCTATTATAGATGTTTCTCCAACTGAAGTTGTTTCTCCTGCAGTAATTGTTTCATTTAATGTAGTTGTTTCTCCTACTCTAGTTGTTTCTCCTACAGTAGTTGTTTCTCCCGTAATAGCTGTTTCTACTGCATTAGTTGTTTCTCCTGCATTAGTTTTTTCACCAGCAACAGCTGTGTTTCCTGCAGTTGTTGTTTGTTCTAATGTGGCTGTTCCTCCTACAGAAGTTGTTTCCCTACTGTAGTTGTTTTTTCTACCATGGTTGTTTCTCTTTTAGTAGTTGTTAATCCTATTGTAGTTGTTTCTCCTACTTTTGTTTTTTTCCTGAATAAATTGTTTCTTCTACTGTAGTTAATTCTTCTATTGTGGTTGTTTCTTCTTTATTAGTTGTTTTTCCTACAGTAGTTGTTTTTCCTGAGGTAGTTGTTTCTCCTGCAGTAATTGTTTCTCCTACTGTAGTTTTTTCTCCTACTTTATTTGTTTCTTCTACTGTAGCTGCTTCTTTTGTTAGAGTTGTTTCTTTACCATTAGTTGTTTCTACTACTTTAGTTGTTTCTCCTACAGTAGTTGTTTCTCCTGCTTCAGTTTTTTTACCTGCAATTGTTTTTCCTTCTACTGTGGTTGTTTCTCCTACTGTAGCTGTTTCTCCTGCATTTGTTTTTTCTCCTGCGGTAGTTGTTTCTCCTACTGTAGGATTTTCTCCTATAGTAGTGATTTTGCTGGCAGTAATTGTTTCTTCTGTAGTTGTTGTTTCACCTGCAGTAGTTGTTTTGACTGCAGTAGTTAATTCTTCTACTTTAGTTGTTTTTCCTGCAGTTGTTGTTTCTTTTACTGTGGTTGTTTCTCCTACTGTAGCTGTTTCTCCTGCATTTGTTTTTTCTCCTGCTGTAGTTGTTTCTCTTATTAAAGGTGTTTCTCCTGTATTAGTTACTTTGCTGGCAGTAATTGTTTCTCCTGTAGTAGTTATTTTGCTGGCAGTAATTGTTTCTCCATTAGTTGTTTCTACTACTTTAGTTGTTTCTCCTACAGTATTTGTTTCTCCTGTTTCAGTTTTTCTTCCTGCAGTTGGTGTTTCTTCTACTATGGTTGTTTCTCCTACTGTAGCTGTTTCTTCTGCTTTTGTTGTTTCTCCTGTAGTAGTTGTTTCGCTGGCATTAATTGTTTCTCCTGTAGTTGTTGTTTCTCCTGCAGTAGTTTTTTCTCCTACTGTAGTTGATTTTTCTGGTTTAGTTGTTTCTCCTGCAGTAATTGTTTTTCCTAATGTTGTTTTTTCTCCTGCAGTAGTTGTTTCTCCTACTGTAGTTGATTTTTCTGATTTAATTGTTTTCATGCAGTTGTTGTTTCTTCTACTGTAGTTGTTTCTACTGTAGTTTTTGTTTCTCCTGCAGTAATGTTTCTCCTGTAGTTGTTGTTTCTCCTTCTTTGGTTGTTTCTCCTACTTTAGCTGTTTCTCCTGCATTTGCTGTTTCTCCTGCTGTAGTTGTTTCTCATACTATAGTTGTTTTTCCTGTAGTAGTTTTCTCTCTGGCAGTAATTGTTTCTCCTGTAGTTGTTGTTTTTCCTGCAGTAGGTGTTTCTCCTGCAGTAGTTGTTTCTCCTACTGTAGTTGTTTCTCCTGTAGCAGTTGTTTTGGTGGCAGTAATTGTTTCTCCGGAAGTTCTTGTTTCTCCTGCAGTAGTTGTTTCTCCCACTGTAGTTGATTTTCCTGATTTAGTTGTTTCTCCTGCAGTAGTAGTTTTTCCTAATGTTATTTTTTCTCCTGCATTAGTTGTTTCTCCTTCTGAAGTTTTTTCTCCTGAAGTAATTATTTCTACTACTGTAGTTGTTTCTCTTATTGTGGTTGTTTCTCCTTTAGTAATTGTTTTTCCTAAAGTAGTTGTTTCTCCCAAAGTGGTTGTGTCTACTGCATTAGTTATTTTCCTTCTTTAGTCTGTTTTTCCTACTGTAGTTGTTTCTCCTGCCATAGTTGTTTCTACTGCAGTAGTTGTTTCTCCTGTAACAGTTGTTTTTTTCTGGAATTGTTGTTTTTCCTACTCTAGTTGTTTTTCTGCAGTAGTTGTTTCTACTGCAGTAGTTGTTTTTTGTACTGTAGTCGTTTCTCCTACATTTGTTGTTTTTTCTACTGTAGTTATTTCTACAATAGAAGTTGTTTTTCCTGCAGAAGATGTTTCTCCTAGTGTCATTGTTTCTCCAGCAGTTGTTGTTTCTCTTACTGTAATTTGCTCTCCTGCATTAGTTTTTTCTCCTGCAGTAGTTGTTTCTTTAGCAGTACTTGTTTTTGCTAGTGTTGTTGTTTCTCCTGCAGTAGTTGCTTCTCCTACTGTAATTGTTTTAACTTCTGTTGTTGCTACTACTACTCTAGTTGCATCTCCCATTGTAGTTGTTTCTCCTACTGTAGTTGTTTCCCCTACAGTGATTTTTTCTCCTGTAGAGGATGTTTTTCCTCCTATTGCTGTTTTTCCTGTGGTAAATGATTCTCCTGCAGTAGTTGATTTTCCTTCTGTAGTTGTTTCTCCTGATTTAGTGGTTTCTCCTACTGTTGTTGTGTCTACCATCCTAGTTGTTTCTCTTGAAGTTGTAGTTTCTTCTGCAGTGGTTCTTTTGTCTAATGATGTTGTTTCTCCTTTTGTAGTTGTTTCATCTATTGTAGTTTTTTCTCCTTCAGTATTTTTTTCTTTTACTGTAGTTGTTTCTTTTACTGTAGTTGTTTCTTTTGCAGTACATAATTTTCCTGCTGTTGTTGTTGCTTGTACTGTAGTTGTTTCTTTTGCAGTAGCGGTTTTTCCTGCAATTGTTGTTTTTCCTACTTTAGTAGTTTCTTCTATTGTAGTTGATTCTACTACTGCAGTTGTTTCTCCTGCAGTAATTGTTTCACCTGTTGTAGTTTTTTCTCCTACTTTAACTGTTTCTTCTTTTGTAGCTGTGTCTACAATTTTAGTTGTTTCTTTTGCATTAGTAGTTTCTCTTACTTTAGTTGTTTCTCCTTTATTAGTTGTTTTTCCTAAGTTAGTTGTTTCTCCTGTAGTGGTTGTTTCTAATGCATAAGTTAGTTCTCTGTCTTTAGATGTTTCTCCATCTGTAGGTGTTTATCCTGCAGTAGTTTTTTTCTCCTGCAACAGTTGATTTTCCTGCATTTTTTGTTTCTTCTACTGTGGTTGTTTCTCCTACTGTAGCTGTTTCTCCTGCATTTGTTGTTTCTCCTGCTGTAGTTGTTTCTCCACCAGTGGTTTTTTTTCCCACGGTGGTTGTAGTAGTTGTTGTTTCTCCTGCATTAGTTTTTTCTCCTGCAGTAGTCAATTCTTCTGCAGTAGTTGTTTTTTCTTCTGTAGATGTTTCTCCTGCAGTAGTTGCTTCTTCTGCTTTAGTGATTTTTCCTACTGTAGTTGTGTCTGCATCTGTAGTTTTTTCTCTTGTAGTTGTAGTTTCTTCTGCAGTTGTTGTTTCTCCTAATGTAGTTGTTTCTTCTGTTGTAGTTGTTTCTCCTGCAGTAGTTGCTTCTCCTACTTTGGTAATTTTTCCTACTGTAGTTGTTTCTCTTATAGTTGTAGTTTCTTCTGCAGTTGTTGTTTCTCCTAATGTAGATGTTTCTTCTATTGAAGTTTTTACTCCCACCAAAGTTGTTTCTCCTACAGTAGTTGTTTCTACTGCTGTAGATGTTTCTCCTGAAGTAGTTGTTTGGCTGGCAGTAACTGTTTCTCCTGTAGTTGTTGTTTCTCCTGCAATAGTTGTTTCGTCTGCAGTAGTTGTTTCTTCTACTGGAGTTGTTTCTATTGTAGTTTTTGTTTCTCCTGTAGTAATTGTTTTTCCTGCAGTTGTTGTTTCTTCTACTGTGGTTGTTTCTCCTATTGTAGATGTTTCTCCTGCATTTGTTGTTTCTCCTGCTTTAGTTGTTTCTCCTTCAGTGGGTGTTTCTCCCAATTTGGTTGTTACTCCAGCAGTTGTTGTTTCTCCTGCATTAGTTTTTTCTCCTGTAGTCAATTCTTCTGCAGTAGTTGTTTTTTCTTCTGTAGTTGTTTCTCCTGCTGTAGTTGCTTCTCCTACTTTAGTGGTTTTTCTTCTGTAGTTGAGTCTGCATTTGTAGTTTTTTTTCTGGTAGTTGTTGTTTCTTCTGCAGTTGTTGTTTCTCCTAATGTAGTTGTTTCTTCTATTGCAGTTGTTTCTCTCACTATAGTTGTTTTTCCTACAGTAGTTGTTTCTACTGTAGTAGTTGTTTGGCTAGCAGAAATTTTTTCTCCTGTAGTTGTTGTTTCTCCTAAATAGTTGTTTCTCCTACTGTAGTTGGTTTTTCTGATTTTGTTGTTTCTTCCGCAGTAGTTGTTTTTCCTAATGTAGTTTTTTCTTCTGTTTTAATTGTTTCTCCAACTGTGGTTGTTTCTTCTTTTGTAGTTGTTTCTCTTATTGTAGTTGTTTCTCCTACTATAGTTGTTTCTCCTATTGTGGTTGTTTCTCCTTTAGTAGTTGTTTCTCCTACAGTAGTTGCTTCTCCCATGGTGGTTGTTTCTACTGCATTAGTTGTTTCTCCTGCAGTAGTTGTTTCTCCTGCAACAGTTGTTTTTTCTGCAATTGTTGTTTCTCCAACTGTAGTTGTTTCTCCTGCAGTAGTTGTTTCTCCTGCAGTAAATATTTCTTGGACTGTAGTTGTTTCTCCTGCATTTCTTGTTTCTTTGACTGTAGTTGTTTCTCCAATAGGAGTTGTTTTTCCTGCAGTAGTTGTTACTTCTACTCTTGTTGTTTCTCCAGCAGTTGTTTTTTCTCCTACTGTAATTTGTTCTCCTGCAGTAGTTGTTTCTTCTGCAGTAGTTGTTTTTTCTACTGTTATTGTTTCTCCTGCAGTAGTTGTTTCTCCTACTTTAGTGGATTTTCCTACAGTTGTTGTGTCTGCTACTGTAGTTGTTTCTCCTGTAGTTGTCGTTTCTCCTGCAGTAGTTGTTTCTCCTTCAGTTGTTTTTTCTATTGGAGTTGTTTTTACTTTAGTAGCTGTTTCACTGGCAGTAATTGATTCTCTTGTAGTTTTAGTTTCTTCTGCAGTTGTTGTTTCTCCTAATGTAGTTGTTTCTTCTATTGCAGTTGTTTCTCTCACTATAGTTGTAAGAATGTATAGAATGTAACTGTAATAAAATATAAATATAATTTGTTAACTTAATCTATTACTTAAATGTTTTACCTTCTGTGCATTGTGACCACTGATCATCTGCAGCTGGAGTGTTAAAAAATCCTCTGATTGTACCAGGTCTTGTCCCATCTTGACATTGATACTAATACTTTCTTGATATTGATCATCTTCAAATTGAAATCCTTTATCACAGACATATGTAATTTCATCTCCAAAATTAACAGGATTCCCATCCCAATATGTAATTCTTAGGTTAGATATGGATGGTGGTTGTGGGGGCTTTAAACATTGAAGAGGACATGACTCACCTGTTGTGAACCTGTAGCTGCAGCATGTTTGTGGCCGGGGGCAGGTAACGCGGTCACTGTCTCTCTCTCTTTCTATCTCTCAAACTGATGTTTGAAAATTTTAGTCTAGTAGAGCAGGGGGAGCAGGGGCGGGGGGGGGGAATGAATAATAAAATGATTCAGCACTAAGAAATTAACTATCTATCTATCTATCTATTCATACTTAAATACACATAGGAAATATTTTTTAAAACCCAAAACTACCCTTTCAGGGCTCAATAAATTAACAATCTTAATTAAAAGTTAAGAGATAAAATACTGAAAGTCACCCATGCAAGAAAGTTTGAAAACTTAATTACGCGGCACATATTGTGAATAGGATTGTAGATTTGTATTTATGTTGGTAAAACTTGGAAATTAAACACAGGGTTTCGCTGAAAAAATGACCTCACTAATTTACGATAGTTTCACTCGTGTCAAACACACCGTGAATGAACAAGACCCTGCATGGCGTTATTGTTACGAGATACTCAAAAATTCCCGTACTTTCCACTTATCACGACATGAATTTCCAAGATTATCAAGTGGCAGCTTTGCCACATGTACAATATGTAAGGAGGGCTCGTGGAAAGTTCACATGATTTATTCCCCAGTTCTCGACCAGTCAGATCTCTTCAAAAACCTGTGCTTTGTTTGATGACTATATAGTTTAGTTGCTGAAGCTAATCACTATACCAAACATTGGATATATAATTCAGTTGTTGAAGCTAAGTGCTACATCAAACAATGGATTTATAATTCAGTTGCTGAAGCTAAGCGTTATATCAAACAATGGATATATAATTCAGTTGCTGAGCTTGGGGCTATACCGAACAATGAATATCTAACCGCTATGCCAAATGAAAGTGTTACCCTGATCAGATCAACAAGCTCTAAAGAAGATCTCAAGGCATGATATTGAAACAGAACATTTAGTTTAGTGTTCCCCATTCAAGGCTTGCGAAACCGGAAACCTTTAGCACTGTTTTGAAAAATTACAGAATTTTGACTTTGTATTTTGTTCCTGAATAATTATTGTTGAGTACTCGTTTAAGATACAATAAATTATTTCCCAGTTAGAAAATTTTAAGAAAATTTTAAATTTTTTAAATAATTTTTTTTTTTAATATAACAGCCATTATTCATATATTTAAAGAACTTAGGATATCCTGTTTTTTCTCCTTTTTAAAAAATAACTAAGCAAGATGCCTCTTTTGATTAAGCCAAAAAAGTAGCTTATTTTAATTTTTGTTCCTTGTGCGCATTGCAAACAGAATTTTTTTAAAGACTCATGATTAAAGATTGAGTCAAAAGGATGAGTTGCATTGTACACACAATATTTCCCAGCTAAAAAATGTACTTTTAAACTACTCAAATAATAACTCATTTTTAATTAAGGTTGTTTGATATTCAATTAATGAAAGCAACTAGAGTAGAGTAAAAATAAGTATAGAATATAATCTGTCTTTTAAACATGTCTCAATAATAAAACATTAAGTTAATGGAGTTTCCTAAACTTTAAGTGGCTTATGTGAACTTCTGTTATTAATGGAAATATATCTCACATGAGTCCACAACCTCTGATTAAAAAAAAAAATTAAATATGCCTGTAAAGACATGAGTTGTTGCCAAATTTCAGGCTCCATAGGTCTTAAAACCATAACCGCAATTTATATTTAGCTGCTAACCTATAAAATTCTTCAAAACATTTCGAATTTGGTATGTATCAAAAGAAAGCTGGTGAATACTGTACATTTTTAATTAGATATTTTCCAAATTGTTTGATTTATTGACAAAAAAGAAATATTTTTCTTCTCAACTATTACTTTTTGGCCTCTTGATTTGTAAAAAATATCAATTTCAAATTATCTGATTACAGTGTTTTGATATGAATCTTTTGATTGATGACAATTGGTAAATAGTTTTAAATGTCTTCTTCCATACATACCAAAGAGAATTATAAGAATATTTAATGGTAGTTATATTATTGTAAAATTGATTTCAAAGTAAAATATATTTCAGTTGAAGATTTTATTGAACGAAAAAAAATGCAAAAAGTCTTTGATGTCTTTTACAGTATAGAGAAGAAGACATTCCAAATTATTTACCAACTGTCATGTTTTGTGGGACACCCTGCAAGGCTGCAATTTCAATTTAAAAAAATGCATATTCTAAACCTTGTTTAATATTCAAAACTAATCCCATGTTGGTAACTAGAGAAGTGCAGTGGTGAATATTTTGATGATCCCAAATGCTATGTTTGTTATGCTATAGTACAATTTTTTAACTATTCATATCAACTGTAAAATACTTTTATGGAACAAAACAGAAAAACTAACATTAAAACACCACTCTCTTTTTTTGTCAATTTTTCTTTTCAGTCCCTTTCCAGACTTTATATGTTTATTCTGCATCTTTACACAGTTAACACTCCGAATTATTATTCAAAAAGACCAAGGTCTGTTTATACATTGTATCATAGAATTCACAGAATTTCGCATTTTGGTTATAATTGTCAATTAAACCATAATAATTTGAATAAATATTGTCTGTTTTTAGTTCATTCTGTAGTATTACTTTAGTCTTACTGTGTAGTCTTACTGAACCAGGAATTATGTTTCGAAGTTTTAATTCAAGCCAATAGGCATGAGACACGGCTTGAAATGAAGCAGAAGGAAGTAGAAATGGCCTGGACTAAAACCGAAACAGAATTAGTGTTCATGAAGAATCCAAAGATGGAAGATTAACTCGCCTTAAGAAATGAATGAAAGACGGAAAGAGAGTCCGTCAGATAGCTCCAGCTTTCCATGATTCATTAGCATCATTTTATTTGTTAATTTTTTACTTGTAAAATCATTTTTTCCTATACTCTGTAGATTTACTCACATCAGTTTTAAGGCTTTAGATTTCCTTTATTTCATACCATCTTTATATCTTAACAATATCATATATCCAGGATATTTTTATCCTTTCAGTTCTATTCTGCTACTGTAGAAGAGGATGAACCTGTACCAGTTAAAAATTGTGGTCTGGTAGGTGGTCCAGCCTGTAGTTGTAAAGAAGGTGAAATTCTAGATTTAGATTATGATTTTTGCAGATGTTGTTACTTTCCTGGGGATTCCAAGGTAAATACAGGGATACAAGGATACAGGGATACAGGGAAACAGGGATACAGGGATTCAAGAATACTGGGATACAGGAATACAGGGATACAAGGATACAGAGATACAGGGATACAGGGATACAGGGATATAGGGATACAGGGATATAGGGATACAGATATACAGGGATACAGGGATACAGATATACAGGGATACAGGGATACAAGGATACAGGAATTTAGGGATACAGTGATACAGGGATACAGGGATACAGGGATACACGAATACAGGGATTGTTACGCGAGCCATGCTGCGTGTATAAAGTCTATATGGTGCCCCTGTGAATTCCTGAGTTCTCCCTGAGGATCTGTACAGAACGTATTGTGAAAGAACTAGTTTTAGGAGCTGTTTACAGACTGACTACGCAGGCGCAAGATTTCTCGCGTGGGAGTGAACAGTTTTATATTAGTATATGTTTATTTGTCTTGCAAGTGTAACTGTGTCCAGAATTCCAGGATCACTGTGGTAATTATTTCTTATATATATACGTATGCTTATCGGTTGATTATATTATGATTGATATTTATATATGCGTTTGTTGGTTCCTTGCCACAGTTTTTTAATGCCTGAGTGGATTATTTGTTGTATTCGTATGATTTATCACTCAAAGCTTATTTAGATTGAAGACTCAGAGAAATAAATGTTCGGAACCTTATTATCATCCTTTTGTTATGAAGAGCGTTGAGAGAGGGAAGTCTTACGATCCCGTCTTGAGAAATACCACAAGGACATATATTAGGTCTTCAGGGAAATCGCTAAGTAGCGAAACAGGGATACAGCTGAATACAGGGATACAAGGATAAAGGGATACATACATACAGAGAGGCAGGGATATAGGGATACAGGAATACATTTATACATTGATACATTGTTACATTGTTACAGGAATACATGGATACAGGGATACAGGGATACAGGGATGCAGAGATACAGGAATATAGGGATACAAATATAGAGGGATACAGAGATTCATGGATACATGGATAAAGGGATACAGGGATTTAGGGATATATGAGATGGATAGGAATACAGACAGGAAGGATTTTTTAAACCAAATTTAAATTCAAATTTTAAAGAAGAAATGCAAAGTCGTCTTTATTTCAAACCTACTCAATCTAGACATACCGTACACATGGTGACTTTTACTTGCTGATATATATATAAACGAATAGAAGCCAGCATTGAAAAAATAGTAAAATTCCCAAAGAAGAAATACAAAGGCGGCTTTATGCTAATTAACTATTTTAGTTTTATACCTGCTGATATATATAGTGAAGAAAGGAAGCCAACAAAGAACAAAACATCCAACAATTATTCCAATAGTTTTAGCTGCCTTAGTCTCCATCTTAAACTTTCGAACCTAAAATAAAATATTTTACAAGAATGTTATAAAATATGTTTAACATTTTAAACGACATTATAAATATCTCCGAAAAAGGCAGAATACATTTTGGAAATGCCAAGGCTAGGTAAAGTTTATAATTATTATTTCAAGTATTATACATTTATATCATAAAACAAGACATTCATATATATATGTTGCATGCGTATAGCCGGCCAAACGTAACGGCAGGACCGATTGGGCTAACATTTTTTGTAGGCACTCATGGATGGCCTGTTTTAGACTAAAAAAATTCGAAATTTTCTAATTCAAATTTTTTATTTTTTTTATTTTCCACGGGCAACACCGGACTATTCTGCTAGTTATACATTTAAAATTAAGTGAACGGACGAATGTCGCAACTAGTTACTCATAGCTGCTAAGACGACCTTCAAGTCGTCTTTCTACTGTCCACTTTTCCGGGACATCCTTTAACTCGGATATAATCCAGAATTAAAACGGAAACATTTTGAAAATAAATCAGAAATAAATCGGAAATGATGCAAAGCCTAGTTCTAGATTATATTAGGCTGGTTCCTCTAATCCCATATCTTGTTTCTAAAGAGGATTCTCCCCCCAAATCTGATAATATAATCAGCAATCAACATCTTTTCTACTTTTTTATTTTTCTTTTTTACAGAAAACATGACGAATTGAAGATCACATTTTTTCTCCAAATCTAGTAGGTCGACAAACAACTGCCGCAAATTGTTTCAAAGATAAGAGATGATCTTCAAGCTGTCTCTCACCTTTTTTTCGTTTTTATTCACGTTTAAGGACCAATAAAACTTTGAACTCTATTTTTTTAGTTTTAAGATTATTTTATAAAAAAAAATTTACAGGTGTAAATCCGCTAAGAAAAAAAATGTCCTCCAAAATCCAAAATCAATTTTATTTCTATAAAACTTTAAATATCAACATTAATTTCCTATAAAGAAAATACTGAAAAGATAGAAAAAAATTTTTTTTTTTGGCAAGAAAGAATTTAAAATTCAAAATTAACCCATTTATGTCGAAATCATCGTATTAAAACTATAAAATGTTTTGTCAGGCTTATCTGTTTTTAAAAACTTTCTATATCGCTTAAAATGTGTTTGCCTATCACATGCACAAGGATATAAAAATGTTTTAAAAAAACAGTAAATATCACAATTTTGATAAGTTTAAGATATTTCTTGCCGTCCAAAACTGCCTATTTGACCGGAATGGGATCATTTACCTGATTTTTTATATTTCTTTTAGCGAAGGCTTTGGAGCTTCCAGGTCTAGCATAGCTTGGACCCTTCCCTTCATCTACCAGCAAACTAGATAGATAGATAGATAGATAGATAGATAGATAGATAGATAGATAGATAGATAGATAGATAGATAGATAGATAGATAGATAGATAGATAGATAGATAGATAGATAGATAGATAGATAGATAGATAGATAGATAGATAGATAGATAGATAGATAGATAGATAGATAGATAGATAGATAGATAGATAGATAGATAGATAGATAGATAGATAGATAGATAGATAGATAGATAGATAGATAGATAGATAGATAGATAGATAGATAGATAGATAGATAGATAGATAGATAGATAGATAGATAGATAGATAGATAGATAGATAGATAGATAGATAGATAGATAGATAGATAGATAGATAGATAGATAGATAGATAGATAGATAGATAGATAGATAGATAGATAGATAGATAGATAGATAGATAGATAGATAGATAGATAGATAGATAGATAGATAGATAGATAGATAGATAGATAGATAGATAGATAGATAGATAGATAGATAGATAGATAGATAGATAGATAGATAGATAGATAGATAGATAGATAGATAGATAGATAGATAGATAGATAGATAGATAGATAGATAGATAGATAGATAGATAGATAGATAGATAGATAGATAGATAGATAGATAGATAGATAGATAGATAGATAGATAGATAGATAGATAGATAGATAGATAGATAGATAGATAGATAGATAGATAGATAGATAGATAGATAGATAGATAGATAGATAGATAGATAGATAGATAGATAGATAGATAGATAGATAGATAGATAGATAGATAGATAGATAGATAGATAGATNTCCCCCTCCCCTTCCCCTCCCCTTTTCCGACAATTTGTCTAGAGTACATGGTGTATACAAATATTTTGTTCAAAATCCCGAACAGAATTTTAGATATATAATATAATTGGGTTTGGAGATTAATATTCCGAACAAAGGTTAGAATTACTTTTAACAGTTTATTTTCTCTAGTTTGATACTTATTTTTCAGTAAAAATTGTAATCTGTTCCAGTTAAAAGAAATACAGGGGGAGGGGGGGGGGAATAGAATTTCTTTCCCCTTCTCTTAATCAGAAAATATCTTGTTTATCATGTCTATGCTAGATTAGTTTGTATTAACAAATATAAGAAATCATGGAATGTTCAAAGTAATCCTTCTTCGCACATGAAAAAATCTGCAACATCAAAATATTGCTTTTGAATTCGCACGTCGAAAATTCAGAAAAATAGCAAAAATTTCGATTAAAATATATTCAAAAATTTCAAAACTGTTTTGAAACATTTGCTCTCCAGACACTTTACCATATTTTCGAAACTGAGTAAGATATGTTTAACTAAAAAAAGGACTAAAAAACAAACCAAATAACGTTCTTTCTGTTCGTTTTCTACTTGCAAGTATCTTCTCTCAGTGTTAAAATTTGAGATGGTGTCAGCAAAGCAAATGTTTAAATTACGAACAGTTCTTAAAGAAATTGGGTCTTTGCAACCTGATGCTGTAAACTGTTGATATTTCAAATAAGATTATTTAATCTAACAGAAATCATATTTTGAAATATATAAGGTCTACGGCATTTGGTTGCACAGATTTATGAATTAGAAAATAAGAGTTTGTGGCAAAGACTCAATTCCTTTGTAAAACTACTCAACAGGTTGTGGAGTACTTTAATAGTCCAAAAACCTTAAAAACAAACGAAGCTAAAAGCACAACACAAATCTGAAGTCGAAGATATCGCCATTATTCTACTTTATGTATTTAAATTCTATATATATTTCTTAAATCGCCGCAAAAATCCTCAACGCACTTTCATTCAGAAACCACAATTTTTAAATAAAAAGTTGTCAGTTTTCTCAGTTGAATGTTTAAAGGTATCCAATGTGAATTGGTCATGAAAAAGGCATCAAACGTCAACGAAAAGAAAGTTTTTTTTTCATAAAAAAAAATCCTTTAAATTTTTAATTGTTTCTTGGTTAATTTCAACCCAGTTTCTCGACAGGGTTTAAGGAGTCAAACATTAGTCAGAAATCTGCCAATTATAATAAAATGTTGATAAAATAAAAAAAACGAAAATCATCGCAGAAAAAGCCTGTTTTGCATAAATAATTTACAATAAATAAATGTTGAGGAAAATTCTAAAATATAAATACATCTTGAAAATTGTAAATCATTAATACTACTGTTAAAAATAAGTATAACTTTAAGTCATATATTGCTGTAATTACAAGTAACCTTAAAGACCTAAAATGAGTGTGTCTGATTCACAACGGTATCCTTTTAACCTTTTATATAGTTAATATTTCTCTCGTTTTTAAGATTAAAAGGTTTTAATATATTTTTTTAACACGCCATCTAAATCTTAATCATTCTTAATAAAACAAAAAGTTGCCAGAGCTGGGAACTTTAGAATGGTGGATATCGGGATTAATGCTTGATCCACCCTTTTTCTTAATCTCCAGATTAAATATTGCTTGTTCTCCTTATGACTTTAATCTCCAGATTAATTAACAGATCGGGATTAAGGATATCACATTCTAAAGTTTTCAGCTCAGGACTAAGGATACCAATATGTAAATCGGATATGCTACTCTATCAATGCAAAACTATAAGTCACGTAAAAATAAAGTAAAGTCTCTTTAAATTAGAACTTTTCCATTTCATGTTGAGTTAAATTATTTAAAATATTGTAATAGTATCAGGAAATCTGTCTATTTTTAGCAACAAAAAAAATCTATTTCTTAGGGAGACACTCCATTGTTCAGTTGCACCGGTAAAAGGGAAAAAATCAAGAAAATAAAATTTTTAAGTATCAAGTAATAACTTTAAAACGCATACGTACATTTTTGCTGTGACTCTATCCACTCTGAATTTCATATTTATTAAAAAAATATTTATTAACTTTTGTCTCGCGGCCTTGCAAATACAAAAGTGGATCAAGTTAGTTTTCAGATTTTATTTAACCCTAAACAGGTGGGCCGGGTGGGGCGTGGGGTCCCTCTAAATATTTTGCCCTAGCGCTTTCATTTTTGACAATATCACCTAGACATTTCTATTCATATCTCTAATTGGATAATGAGATAGATAGAAAGATAGATATTACCGTCATTTTATTTCTATTGGTTCAGAATGGACAACAAACACATGACTGAACCCTGATTGGATCAGGCGCTAATGGACTCGGCAGAACTAATTGAGACTGAGGCGGGGGGAGGAGGGGTATCGGGGCTACAGATCTAATTAAGACTGAAGGAGGTGGGGGTATTTATATTTCTTTATTTTATAGAAATAAAACCCAGCCATGTCAAGGAATTGTAGCAATCTGTTTAATCTTCTCTAATCTTTTAGATTAAAAGTAAAGCAGATTTTTGCAAACTATATTACATCACGAAATTTTATACTTGATATTTTGTATATTTGAATTCTTATTTTAAGAGATGTATAACATTATGATTTATTTGAAACATTAAATAGGTTTTAGTGGAAGAACTCGGCGTTGCCTGTGCCGATAAATATGTAGTTTGAGTGCATGATTGCCGCGTTGTTCTTTACCCTTATTTTTATGCTTTACAGTAGATAGCCTTTTATAACCAAATACATCATCTGTTTGACAATTTATCCCAAAAAAGGTTTATTGGGGGGAGGGGGGGGGGGTTCTTGATCAATAAATATTCTGCCGCAAAAAAAAAAAAATATATTTAGTTATCCCCGTGTTTTTTTCTTCGTACTTTCTTCTAAAATTTCGGAACTGCCCCTTAAGAGTCTTGAAATTGAAGATGCTCAGCATCTCACCTGTTTGTAGGAGAGGGTGGTTCACTACCCTCCCTAGGCTCCGAAACACTTCCCAGTCTTAGGGTAGAGAACGCAACCTTACTCTTTGTAAACCCTGAATACATGAAAAATAAGATAGTTCAGTTTTTAACTTCACATTTTTATTAAAAAAAGAATTATAATAAACATAATGTTTCACGTCTATCATGACGATTCTCAGTAGTTACAATTCTTTGAACAACTAAAATTCCAAGATTTTTTCATCACAAATTGCGTATTTTCTAAAAAATTATTACAAAAACAATAAAAAAAATAAATAGAAATAAGATAGATAGTTAGATAGAGAAATAGATAGATAGATAGATAGAGAAATAGAAAAAAAAATTATTTTGTTTGTCAATTTAAAAAACAAATTCAGTTTAAAATTTGCATTCTAATAAACTAATAGTTTCGAGTTAATTTTAAGCGGATATATAGAATAAGACCCATAAATCTGTGAAATACGAAGACGTCTGTTTTTGACTTAAAGATTTGAAATAAAAAATAAACGAATGAAAATGAAACACAGAAATTAGACTGTACAGAGACAACAGTGCTTGACAATTTGATTGTAATTCTGCCTGCTGCAGATAAAACTATTTTCTATATAAATTACAGAACTGCATAACATAAACAGACTTAAGAGTCTAAAACTAAAGAATGCATGTAAGCTTCAGCTTAAAGTTCTGAAAAATAATGAGTTGATACTTAAGTATTAATCTTTCTCAATTTAACACTGATATGAAATTTAAATTTCCCGGGAAAAATCTCAACCAATCAGATTGCTGGAATTTACAACCTCAGCTGTTCTGTTTTATAATTTTGATTTTTTAACTTAATTTCAGCTAGAGCTAACAAAATATAATTTGGAATAGATTTATTACAGATTACGCGAAAAGATTTATTAACTGAAATCATTTTCATGAATTGAAATATCGCAAAATTGATCCGGTTTAAACATTAACTCGCCGAAATCGACGATTTAAATATTTAAGCTATAGCTTAAAATTCAGTTAGAAGTGGCATTTACGCTGAAACTTAACATTTAAGTCGTAACTTTTAGTTCTTTAGTTTTAGACTCAGATTGGTAACATGTTGTCTTCCTATTCCACACATTGATAAGTCAATCTGAATTATGGATATCCAAGATAATTGCTTTACTTAATATCTTTTCTTATTGATATTGCCCACAGTGGATATCAAGAATAAATCATCAAATTATACATTTGTATAATTTTATATCGAACCTAAGTTTGCGTGAGGTTTGAGTAGTGTTGATCTTGAACCAGAGACAACAAATCTCTTTTTTCTAATTTTAAAAACAATGAAATAAAATATATTAATATTATTAAATATTAATAGTTGGTTTTTGGGGTTTTAGACCTTTTAGGGACTCCACGAGAATCTATGACGTTTAGTATATATATATATAAATTTAGCTTGTCTGTCTGTCTGTCCGTTTGTATCCAATAAACGTCAAAACGGCTGAATTTGTTTTAAAATTTGTTTGATTGTTTTTGTTCCTGACAATTTTTCTGTTTATAAATGATGAGGTATTCGTTTGTGTACCCTGAAAAATAGAAATATCATCATAATTGTCCTTGTCCATGTCCTTGTCGTTGTCCTTGTCCTTGTCCTTGTCCTTGTCCTTGTTCTTGTTCTTGTCCTTGTCCTTGTCCTTGTCCTTGTCCTTGTCCTTGTCCTTGTTCTTGTCCTTGTCCTTGTCCTTGTCCTTGTCCTTGTCCTTGTTCTTGTCCTTGTCCTTGCCCTTGTCCTTGTCCTTGTCCTTGTCCTTGTCCTTGTCCTTGTCTTCGAACCTGTTCTGAAAAACTTCTCCGATTGTGTGCGCATGTTTTTCTCTCAACTCCGTTTGAATGTTTTCCTTTAAAGTCTCTGGTGGCGCCATTCCCTCTCCTCTTCATATATTTACCCTTTTCTCCATTAGATTTCTCCCACCCTGACTCAGTTTTTACGGTTCTCACTGTAAAATAAGGTTAGATTTATCACATTTAACAAACATTTTAAAAGAAATATTTTTGTAACTGGACCATTTCTGGAATTTTTTAAAATGCCAAAAAATTTATTATTTTTATATATTTTAAAATTCTTTTACTTTAACGATTGTAAAAGCTCTTATCTTTAACCAGTAATGTAATTTATTATTAGATAGTTTTTTTTAATTCTGTGAAAGATTAAAAAGATGATTTTTACAAAATTTGCCTTTGACACGATAAATTTGACCCGCCTTGTTTTTTGGACTTGTTGAAGAAAGATGTTGTCTCACAGAAGGAACCCTGAATTAGAAAAATATCTATTTTTAATGGTTTTTTTTTTCTGCTGAAAATGAAAAAAAAACTTCAAAGGATCAGAGTGAAAAGAGAGGAAAGTTTGAAAAAGAGTAAGAGAAAAGGTTGAAAAGAAAAAGAATAAGAGAAAAGGTTGAAAAGAAAAAGAATAAGAGAAAAGGTTGAAAAGAAAAAGAATAAGAGAAAAGGTTGAAAAGAAAAAGAATAAGAGAAAAGGTTGAAAAGAAAAAGAATAAGAGAAAAGGTTGAAAAGAAAAAGAATAAGAGAAAAAGGCTAAAAAGAAAACGGAATAAGAGGAAATGGCTAAAAAGAAAACGGAATAAGAGGAAAAGGCTAAAAAGAAAATGAATAAGAGGAAAATGCTAAAAAGAAAACGGAATAAGAGGAAAATACTAAAAAGGAAAAGAATAAGGGGGAAAATGTGCTGAAGGAAAAATTTGAAAGGAATGAGGGAAAAAATTTTAAAGAAAGAAGGGGAAAACTATGAAAGAAAACGCTGGAGAAAGAGGGGGTAAAAGAGAAAAAACAATAATATTGCAAGTTGTTAACCGAAATTTTCATAAAATGATCAACATTCGAACAAATCGGTTTGAAATTGAAACGGAGTTTTATCTATATCATCATTCTTATAAAAACCATTTATATGGTAGTTTTGAAGTTTTGCCCCCCCCCCCCCCAGTTCCCCCTTGAGAGTTAATTAGGTACGTGCAGGCCTGTTTTTATCCATAACAATATTAATACCTAATTAATTAGTCGATGAATAAATATAATAATGAATATTATGAACAAAGTCCAATATTGACAACACATGAATAGAGATAAAAATTGTTGTTGTTTTTTTAAACCTTTTAGGATTCGACTTTTAATGGACAATGTGAATGTAAGTGTTTTCAATTTATTATGTTTATTATGCTTATTATATTTAAAATGGTACTATTTCAACCTCTGTCTAGTCAGAATTTTTTATTTTTTTAAGTGAGTTGTGCATTTTTGTTTTATGATTAATGAAGAAAATTGTCAGAATTTGACACTTTTCAAGCTAGAAGAACGACGATATCTTCCAAATTATTGATCAAATCAAGGGAACCGGGCAAAGCACGTGAAATTACAATAATCTTCGATATTATGAATATTATGAATAAGCTCACGAAGTTTGATTTTACTGGAAACATTATGCAAAAGTTTTATTTCTGAAAAAAATATTAACTAAAATGATTTATTAAAACGATTCCTAAACCGGTGAACCCCATAATGATTTTGATAGGATAGGGGGGGGGGTGTTTTCAATCCCCCCTTTTGTAGTTTTTTTTATTTTTACATAAAAGCGGCTTACACAATAGAAGACTAAAAATTCTTCAATTTTTCAACTTCAAAGTTGTGATCAAATATTGCGAAAAAAAAATATTGAAAAGGTGTAATTTTTTTAATAAGTTGGCCTTGAAAAGTTGGACTGGGTACATGCGTCAAACTCCCCTATCTCAACTCTATGGGCATCTATATGAGACAAAAATAGCCCAATCCGGACAGGGTTAACATCCGACCAGATTTTTGTTAAATGTGGATCTTTAAAAAAGACAAAAAACTTGAATGTATAAAAAAATTGTTTTCAGCATACACAGTATACATTGTATACTGTGTATTCATCATATGTATACTGTGTATTCAGCATAAGTATACTGTGCATTCAGCATATGTATACTGTGTATTTTTTCCTGAATTTTCATTAAAAATATTCAAAAGTTGGGAAAGGAAAATAAAGAAAGCACATAAATCTAGTTCTACATTTTTTTTTTCTAAACCAGGAAAAAATACAAATTTGTAAAAAACAAGATTTCTTATTCCAAACTAGATTAGAAGGTTTCCCCGTCTCAAAAAAAAATATTTTGTGCATTATAATTTTAAAAAAAAACCTTCCTTTACAGTCTTTCTAGAGCCAGTTTCTTTACTTGTCTTTCTAAAGTCTAATTTTTTTCTTTCATTCATTTTCTTTCTTTTTTCCTTTCATACATTTATAGAGTCTAGTTTTTTCTTTCTAATCTTTTTTATAGAAAATGTTTCTTTCTTATCTTGCTAGAGTCAAGTATTTTTATCTAGAGTATTTTTTCTTCTTTTTGCCTTTCTAGATTCAGGTCTTTTCCTTTCTAGAATTTTTTTCTCCTTTTTTCATTTCTACAGTATATTTTCTTCTTTTGCCTGTCTAGAGTCAGGTCTTTCCCTTTCTGGAGTCTTTTTCCCCAGTTTTGCCTTTTTTGAATCATGTCTTTTTCTATCAGAGTCTTTATTGTTCTTTTTGCTTTTAAAAAAACAGGTTTTTTTCCTTTCTTTAGTCTTTTATTCTTATTGTCTTTTTCAGGTTTTTTCCTTTCCAGAGTCTTTTTTTTCTTTTTGCCTTCCTAAAGTCAGGTCTTTTTCTACCTTTAGTCTTTTCTTCTTCTGTTTGCTTTTCTAGAGTCAGGTATTTTCCTTTCTAAAGTCTTTTTCTTCGTTTTGCCTTTCTAGAGTCAGGTCGTTTTCCTTTCTTAAGTGTTCTTTTTTTTGCCTTATTTAAGCCAGGTTATTTCTCTTATCTTTCTAATGTCCACCTTTTTATGGTTACCTTTCTAGATTCAGATTTTGAGTCATCTTCCATCCTGTGAGATGATGTTACAGTCCCACTAGAGGAGGGTTCAACCTCACTAAACAAACAGTTCAACCTGACTAACAATATTTTAGTTCAATTCATCAATAACCATAAGTCATAACAGTTCAACCTTACTGACAATATTTGAGTTCAATTCATCAATAACCATTAGAGTTCAACCTGACTAACTATAAAAGAGTTCAATTAGTCAAAATTAAGATTTTAACCGGAATAAACATAAAGTCCAATGAGACTAAACATAGAGTTCAACCAGACTAAACATAAAATTTAACTCTACAAAACATAGAGTTAAACCTGACTAAACATAATAAAGTTCAACCCTACGAAAAATAGAGTTCACCCAAGGAACTATAAACAGGAACGCCCAACTCAGATATACGCATATTATGTACTGTACACTGTGGGAGGAATGTAAACAAACCCAGTGCCCCTACAGAAGTTGAAGGGTAAGGACTACAGCTCTGATGTGATATTACAGTTCAACAAAAAACAAGTTAATATATCAAGTTAAAGCTTATACTAATGACTTTTGGCTTTCTAGTCGAAATGGAAAATACAATAGCAAATATTCATAATCCAGCCATTGGGTCATTTTCCCTGAAAATGATGCGTTGCCCCTGAATTCTTTGTTTTGATCTCCTCCCACTGAAGTACACAGATTTGACGCATCAGATATGGCGGTTCCTGGTCTATATATTTCTTGAGTTCACCCATACTAAATGTAGAGTTCAACCAGACAAAACATAAATTTCTACAAACCAACGAAACATAGAATTCAACACTTAATATTGTTATTTTTCGATAATTATATTTATACATTTATACATTGGCCACATCAAGGAGAATTGAATAAAAGGAGGGGGCGATAGGGTTTCCGTACACTTTGCTGTGACGTTTTTGGACTGCTGGAGAACTAGTTTTTGCGTTACAACAATAACAAAGGCAGCCGATCTAATGTAAACAAACATGAGTTAGTATACGGTGAATCTTCATCTAACGCCAGAGATGCGCCAGATGTCTGTTTATCATTTGTGTTATTGTTTACAATCTTTATTATTGTTGTTCGCAAAAACTAGTTCTTCAGCAGTCCAAAAACGTCACAGCAAAGTGTACGGAAACCCTATCAAATTATTCTTCAAGAATTATAATTCTTGAAGAATAATTTGATTGCACGTCCCATTTCAAGATTCGGTCTAGAATTTTAATGTTCTCAATTTGAAAATATATTTCAAGTTAAGAATAAATAGTCATAATTGATCTAATCTATATATATATATGTCCGTGTATATATATATATGTCCGTGTATATATATTGTGAATTTTTGTGACAATTTAAATGTCCTCCATCTTCTATAAAAGTTTAAGAAAATCGTCCAAAAACCATTAAAAAATTCATATTCTTGTCAAAACCTGATATTAGAGAATTTTAACACTTCAAACAATGAATTTTGTTAGATATATCTATCTATCTAGATCTATCTATCTACCTAGATCTATCTATCTACCTAGATCTATCTATCTATCTAGATCTATCTATCTATCTAGATCTATCTATCTATCTAATTAGATCTATCTATCTATCTTTCTAGATCTATCTATCTATCTAGATCTATCTATCTATCTAGATCTATCTATCTATCTAGATGTATCTATCTATCTAGATCTATTTTCACAAGCTTTAAATTTCAAAAGTCTGCGCCATAATGTTAGACAAAATTAGACTGAGAGACATGTGCTCCTTTTAAAATTATTTTATTGGTTTTTAGCAATGTACAATTTAGCAATAAAGCAATAATTTTAAGAGATATGAGAAGCGCCTTGGATGCCTGGTAAATTTTCTAACTTAAGTAAATGTCATCATTTAACACTTTTTGGAAAAATGTTTAACTTTAAATGCAGTTTCATCAGAATTTCAAAACTTTTAAAATCGTTTCCCAAAAATGTCAATAGCGTCAACTTTAATATAAAAACAAACTTGTGTTTCACAGAATTGACAAGTTTTTAGACAATTGTTTTGGAAATTAAACTTTCAGGGCGCTTCGCGCCTATTTTCAAGTGACAATTTTAGCTTTGTTGATTTTCAAGCTTCCATTTTCCTCAGTAAATCATATTTCGTTGATTATGGTTTTTTTCACTTTTAAAAATAATAAATGTTGACCCTTTCTTAGTCATATTTAACACCCAAAAACCTGGGTCAGGTGAGGTGCCTAAAATTTGGGCCCGATCGGTTCAGCCGTTTGGACGTTTATTTGATATAAACAAACAGACAATCTAGCTAATGTATATATATATATATATATATAAAATTCAGTGATGGTGAACTTTTATTTTAAAATGAGAACTTGATTGATGAGGAAAAAAAGACTTACTTTAAAAATTAACGAAATGCTAAATTTCGTATTTTCAAATTGATAATTGAAAGTTTTAATCTTTGCTTTTTGCCAACAGTATCTAAATTTGAGATCCACGTTCTCTCTCGGGCCTCCATTTATCTCAGGTAAAGGTTGTAACTTTTTAAATAGAGAATCAATTGGAATTACGTCTACAGTCCCTTTGATTAGGATCCCAACTGACCTGAAGGTTGTGAGTTGAATGTATGAGGTCTCAGGTTTAGGCTCAGGTAGCTTGCTTGATCTCCCTCTAAATAAAACACTTTAAAGGGAATGTTTAAAATTTCGGGAGAAGTTGAAGATACCAATATTTAAATATTAGTATCCATAGTTTGGTCCATCACCATCACCAAATTTTAAATATTAGTAAACTGTGATCCCAACATAGGATGAAACGTTAATAAAAACCAGAAAATTCATTAAAATTCTATTTAAAAAAGTTTAAATTTACTTTCAATGGTAAACGTACTAGGAAAGAAAAAAAATGCAAAATTTACCAATATTGCAATATTAGTAAACATGGATCCTCACAAAGGATGAGGCTTTAATAGCAACCAGAAAATTCAATAAAATGCAATTTTAAAAAGTTTAAAACTGTGAATTTAATGGTAAAGAACTAGAAAGGTTAAAAAAAATGTAAAAAAAAAACACAATATCCTACAGTTTAAAAACACAATATCCTACAGTTTAAAAACACAATATCCTACAGTTTAAAAACACAATTAAAAAAGCTAGCACTTAGGGTTAAACACAAAAATAAAGATGTAAAAAATGAATAATTGGATAAAAAGTATACCTGTGTATACCCATTCCTCCTACCACCTCTCCTCCATTTTTAACTCTTGTAAAACCCTGAAATAAAAAAAATCAGTTAAAAGACAAATGTCAATAAAGAAAAATATAAAAAAGTATTGTAAAAATTGATTTTAAAAACCTGTCTAATGGCTTTGATGGTCTTCTTCGCTGTCCTGTTTTATCAAATAATTACGATCATTTTTTATGTTATTAAAAAGTGTCGAGAAGTAAATGCTGTGCGCTACTCATGTTGTTTTTCCTAACAGCAACTTTATTCATCAAACATTTAATTTTTAATTTAATTGTTAGTAAGATAGCGTACCTAGAAATATATCAAATTTGAACAATATTCTCTAAATCCAAACATTTTTCGGAAGCTTACAAGAGACTAATTTAAGGCGAATTAAAATTTTTAATAAGTTTCCAATGACAAAAATTATATTTAAAAAAAAAAAAAAAAAGTTTCCGCAGCCTCTGCATGTAATTAATCTATGGTAAAACTGTAAGAATAAGTAATAGCTACTTTTTAATGGGATTAAAAATACAAAATTATGGAGCTTAAACTAAGAAATTATAGTGTAAGTTTCCGGGGAAACTAAATTCCTTTATAATAGACCGACGAAATTATCCCTGTATATTCTCCAGTTCAAGAAAATCATCACAAACATCGGGGCAAAGAAGGATCCAAGAGCTGAGTATATCACGTATCCAGGATCCGAACTAAACAAGAGCTGAGTATATCACGTATCCAGGATCCGAACTAAACAAGAGCTGAGTATATCACGTATCAAGGATCCGAACTAAACAAGAGCTGAGTATATCACATATCCAGGATCCGAACTAAACAAGAGCTGAGTATATTACATATCCAGGATCCGAACTAAACAAGAGCTGAGTATATCACGTATCCAGGATCCGAACTAAACAAGAGCTGAGTATATCACATATCCAGGATCCGAACTAAACAAGAGCTGAGTATATCACATATCCAGGATCTGAACTAAACAAGAACTGAGTATATCATGTATCCAGGATCCGAACTAAACAAGAAATGAGTATATCATGTATCCAGGATCGGAACTAAACAAGAGCTGAGTATATCACGTATCCAGGATCCGAACTAAACAAGAGCTAAGTATATCATGTATCCAGGATCCGAACTAAACAAGAGCTGAGTATATCATGTATCCAGGATCCGAACTAAACAAGAACTAAGTATATCATGTATCAAGGATCCGAACTAAACAAGAGCTGAGTATATCATGTATCTAGGATGAGAACTAAATAAGAACTAAGTATATAACATATCCGAAATATAAACAATTAAACGTTTCTAGGATCCGAAATAAACAAGAGCTGAATAGTGAATAAATCACTTTTCCCGGATCAAATTCAGAACTTAACAAACAAATCTAGAAAATGTACTGCTTTGATGAAAACTTTAAGCTAGTCGTATTAAATAAGTATTACCAACCTGAGTTGGCATTGAGGTTTACAGTCGCCTTTGTCCACAAAACCACTGGAGTCCGCGCCACTGAAAAGATGCATTTTTTAAAGTGGCTATAGTAATTTAAAAAAGCTTTTTATAGTCAAGAACTCGAATTCTCTTTAGAAACGGATTTATGAACAGAGAAAATGAAGAAAATTGACAGATAGTGACGAAAAATGAATTACCAATGTACCGATGTAATGTCAAATGAAGATCAATACAAATTCCGTTAACAGTCCCTTTAATTTTAATTTTGCCATATCATTCATTAAAAACATAATATTTGACAAACAAAAACCGTCAAATAAGTTAGCATTAGTTTCCAAATGTATTACTCCATCTGAATACATGAACGGAGTTAAAAGGCACTGTTCGCCAAATCTCAAGTAACCCTCCAATTGCCAGGCAAAGTTTGCAATGGCCCATTTACAAAGAAAAATACACAGTTTTTAAAACAAAAACATGGATATCTAATTCATACCGTTGTGAATTAGAGATATCCATCACTAAATGGGGGGCTCACTTTAAATTACGCTTACAGCCCCTTTAATTTATATTCTAAGTTGTGAAAACTTATTAAAGCTTATTAATACACGGATCTAACTGTGCAAACTTCAAACTGCAAATTGGATTAACTAATTTAAAGCGTCTGGGGCCGAATTTAAAAATTTGAGACGCGGCTTAAATTGAAACTGGTTTTTGAGGGAATTCGAGGACGCAGCTTAGATTCATTAAATTCGGACACTATCGTTATAATTTCAAATGTCTCTCCAGTCTCCGATTTAAGTGGGCATGTCAAATTTACAAGGGTACCCTTTAAAGGTATGTTTCTGATTAATTTTATGAAAGTTGGAATTTTGGTTTGAAAATGTAATTAACTAAATACGCTTGAACTCTAAATAAACGGAAAACTTTTAACTGGAAAAAATAAAATACTATATATTATTGGTCTTATTTTAATGTGACTCGTTTTAGCTGAGATGGTAAAATGATGTTAAAAAATACAAAAAATAAAAATATTAAAAAATTAAATAAACACTAGCTTACCTTGTATTCCAACCTACAAGCGGAGGAAAGCAGATTATAAAACTTATCACCCACACACCGCAGATCATCAGCTTAGCTCTACATATAGATATAGATAGATAGATAGATAGATAGATAGATAGATAGATAGATAGATAGATAGATAGATAGATAGATAGATAGATAGATAGATGGATAGATTGATAGATAGATAGAAAGATAGATAGATAAATAGATAGATAGATAGATAGATAGATAGATAGATAGATAGATAGATAGATAGATAGATAGATAGATAAATAGATAGATAGATAGATAGATAGATAGATAGATAGATAGATAGATAGAAAGACAGAAAGATAGATAGATATATAGATAGATAGATAGATAGATAGATAGATAGAAAAATACAGAATTTTAGCGAAAAAGTGGCAAAAATTCATCAAAAAAGACAAAATTTTGAGAACACAAAACTCATTTTCAAAGAGGGATTTATCCGCGAGCCCAATAGATGGATTAACACAAAAAATAGTGGAGACACCTGACAATTCATAGATTTGCTTGAAAATACTTTCTCGACCGTTCAGATCTTTCTTCTTAAAACACAAAATAAAATCTGCTACGGGAAGAACCAAAATAATTTGGAGACAAAAAAAAGTAGCCAGTGAAATCAAATTCTATTCACCAAACATTTATTTAAGTAAAGGAAGAGAAATTATTTATATGGCATAATAAATCTTCAAATATTGTGCTATCAGAGCAGATCATTCCAAGTTCTTTTGAGAATTTATTTTTTGCAGCTACAAAACTCATGGTTTTCACAAAATTTTCGCTATTCGCGAAAACATTTTGTTTCATTTTTTGTCGCAAAAAAATGCTAAATATCGCGAAAAAGTTTGGGAAATGCGACCGAAAATTTTCGCATTTTTTCGCGAAAGGTTTCGTTCGCTGGAAACTCTATCAGAGACCGACCCTTCCAAATTACGTTTTAACCTGCAGACTCTAACCCTCTAACTGTTTAAAGTTAATCAAGTTCTTTATCGTGGTTTTTGCACAGTTTTTGCACAAATATCTGCAGTCTAAAGAAATGGGAAACTCTGCTAATATTTAGACAAGTAAATGGTATTTAGAGAATTCAAGTAAATACAAGGGACTTAATGAAACACCAGCCATCCTATTTGGTGGACCTATATGACCAGCCATAGCCATATATATATATAAATATATATATATATACACATATAAATAAATATATCTTTATATATATATATTTGAGCGAAGAACTTATTGTATGAACAGCTTCGATAATATATGTTAACACAAAATAGATTCTTCGTTTTGTGGTTCTACCCACCTCCAGTTTTTACCCATAGCGCTTTTTGATAATTCCTGATATTTCAGAAAGATTAATTTAGAAATTTTCTGTCAATACATTTTACTGTCAATGAATGCTCCGCGAATAGCTGTAAGATTTCAGATGGGTGGTAAAAAAACATGTGTCTCTTTAAAGTATTTTTGCATTTTTTGAACCTCCTAGTTGATGAACACTTGAACTTTGAGTTCCAAAATTTAGAAAAATTAAAAAGCCTTGAAAAATTGCCTAAGCCAAGAATTTGATTTTTAAAGTATTTCTATGGGGGGGGGGTCATCGCAGATCCCCTTCCCCTTTCAGGCGTTACTTATATCCAGGCCTCCAGCCTGTGTAGGGTTAAATCAATTGAAATTTCTAAATGTCAAGAGCTTTACTTTTCTTCTTCGACACTTCTTGGAATATTGAATAACAGGTTAGAAATGGCGTTTTCCTCTCAAAACACAATTTTAAGAAAATAATATTTTGATCAAAATTTTAAATTAAATTTGAGATATTAGATATTTTCAATTTCATGGTAAACATTTTATGAGATTATTATTCTAGTTTCATGGAGGGGAGAGAAGGGGGTAAACATTTTTGGAAGAAAGGTGAGGGGGGGGGGGAAATGACAAAAGAAAGGTGAGGGGGGGGGAACAGACAAGCGAAGGGGTTTGTTAAGAGGATAGGGGGGTGGGTGTTTATCTTCTCTATTTCTAAAGTGTTTACTTATTAATTTTCTGGACCTATTAGAATTTTTGTAATTATGAAATGATATCATTATTAATAACGTATAATGAGTTTGAAAGTTTGTAATTAGTTTGCTGGTTTTAATGTTATACATACAAGTTGAAATAGATTAATATATGAGAGCAGGGTAACAGGAGGGGGGTGGGGTGTAGTTTCATCTTATATACACTTTTTAACTTGGGAACCAAGCTTTGTTGGAAGTCAACCTACCCAATTTAGATTTTTCGGTTTCTTCTATTTGAAATCAAACATGTTTTGGTCTTAAATTCAATAATCATTTACTTTAAGGATTTGTTTATTTTTACATTTTCATTAAAAATGCATATGCCAACAAAAAAGTATTTAATAAAAAAGGCTAACAAATTATGTTTAATGGGTCAAATTGTGATCGAAAGTCACAGCTTTCTGGAACATTGACAGAACCATTAAATCCACGTGGGGGGTCAATTTTTACCCTTCCCCCTCTGAATCACATGTTTGATGTCCAAATATGACAAATAATATATCATTGGAAAGCTATTATGCTCTAATTTTAGAATCTGCAAAAAAATGCAAATTTGCAAAAATAGATTTTTTTGGCAAAATCCAGTTATATAGTTAAAAATGTTTGCAAAAAAATGTCCAAAAATTATGAAATGTACATTCTTGAAAAGCACTTGACCATTCTATTTCAAATATGCAAGAAAAATTTAGCAACATTTTAATAACCTGATGTATAATTAAGAAACTCAAAATGTGCAAATTTCTTTCAACGGGTTGTATTAACAAATAATTTGAAAAAGGAAACTTTGTATGTTTTAAGATTGTTGAATTATTGACTAACGAAATATTAAATTGAAATTGAAGAAACCGAATGCATCTGCCCCTGGTTAGTCCGGGGTGAGAAATGTTCAACACACCCCTTCAGATATTCTATAGTTTTAGATATATATAAGTTAACAAATTATCAGATGGTTTGGTTAGAGATGTTTTAAAAACATTTTATTAACATTAAAATACATCTTTCTTATAAAAGATCAGAAGCAGCATTGTATACCCCCCTCCCCGGCCACACGCTCTAAAATCGGTTATACAAACAATAACGTCTCAAATGACACTTATTTGTAAGATCATATAACCACTATAACAATATTAGATTTCTAAGCAACCCTCAACTGAAGTTCATTCACCTTTAGTAAAAAATCTAGTACAAATTTAAGCAATCTATTCAAGACCTTTCAGAGGCTGTCAATGTATTTAAATTGAATCTTCCATTTAAAGACAAAACATTCATGATTTCTAGATCTTAAAATAGAATATTTAAACTTGTGGTTTCACTGCAAAAGTGACCTGCGGATTTATAGAGCAGAGAAAAAAAGAAATTAACAGAATTCAACATTTTTTAAGATGAAAAACTATTATTTCTTTCTCATTGTTGCTCAGATGTAGTGTGTAAAGCTAGTACCCTTGAGAATGGTTTATTTTAATCTATGATTATAAGGTAACTGAAAACTACTTTAAACATCTGTAGAAACTGATTATCTTGTTTTCTTTTCTCCAAATCTGTTTTGTACGTGGCTAATTCTACATTGTCTATATTATATTACATTTGTTCAGGAAAATGAAATTGTTTCATTTTCCTTTTAGAAACTGACTTCTGGGATAGACAGGGCACCGTTTATTTATTTTTAAAGTAGCCCTTCCTTATTTAAAGAGAACACACTAGATTCACAACAGTACTGTATAAACGCACCTTTGTCTGATGAATAATGGGGAAGAAATGGTCGTTTTTAATTCTGACATTTTCCTTTATTTTTGCAAAGAAAAATTCCGCAAGTCACTTTACAACAAAAATGGCTAAAATTTAAACAGTTGCTTTCCGCAAAAAATCTAAAAATTCAAGTTATGAAATTTGAAGAACAAGGAACTATTTCTAAATTTCAAATGCTTTCACTAAGTCTAAAAATGACAAAATTCACATTGCCCGTGTTTTACACTAACTGGAGTGCCCGGCGTTGCTAGGTGAATATTATTATTATACTAGTTATACATTAAAAAGACCAGGGGGCAGTTATTGACCTCCTGATTTTACCTGGAGGTGGTTATTGACCTCCTGATTTTACCTGGAGGTGGTTATGGCCTCCTGATTTCCCTGGAGGCAGTTATCGACCTCCTGATTTTACTTTGTGGTGGTTATTGATCTCCTGATTTTACCTGGAGGTGGTTATTGACATCCTAATTTTACCTGGAGATGGTTATTGTCCTCTTGATTTTACTTGGAGGTGGTTATTAACCTCCCGATTTTACCAGGAGGTGGTTATTAACCCTCTGATTTTATCTGAGGATGATTATTGACCTCCTGATTTTACCTGGAGGTGGTTATTGACCTCCTGATTTTACCTGGAAATGGTTATTGACCTCCTGATTTTACCTGGAGGTGGTTATTGACCTCCTGATTTACCTGGAGGTGGTTATTGACCTCCTGATTTACCTGGAGGTGGTTATTGAACTCCTGATTTTCCTGGGGGTGGTCATTGACCTCCTGATTTTACCTGGAGGTGGAAATTGAACTCCTGATTTACCTGGAGGTGTTTATTGATCTCCTGATTTACCTGGATGTGGTTATTGACCACCTGATTTACCTGGAGGGGGTTATTGACCTTCTGATTTACCTGGAGGTGGTCATTGGCCTCCTGATTTTACCTGGAGGTGGTTATTGACCTCCTGGTTTACCTAGAGGGTGTTTTTGACCTCCTGATTTTACCTGGAGGTGGTTATTGACCTCCTGATTTACCAGGAGGTGGTTATTGACCTTCTGATTTACCAGGAGATGGTTCTTGAACTCCTGATTTTCCTGGAGGTGGTTATTGACCTCCTGATTTACCTGGAGGTGGTTATTGACCTCCTGATTTACCTGGAGGTGGTTATTGACCTCCTGATTTACCTGGAGGTGGTCATGATGTTTGGATAAGTTACTGGATGTGTGACAGCGATATAACGATCCAGGCTGATAACCACTAATAAATCATTATCATAATAGAATAATTAAATGATAAATATAAAAAAATTTATTTTTGAAACCAAAGTCCAACAGTACAGCGCATGTAGAGGGAAGGAGATAAGGGGGGATGTTAAAAATTGTTATACCTATTTTCTATATTTTTGTAAATACTGATAAATTTTAGCTCTACAATGCAGAAATGTGATTTTTTTGGAAATATCAATTAAAACATTAACAATATGGAAGAAGTTAAGATTGTGGGGGCCGGGGGGGGGGGGGCTTAAAGAAAACAGGAAATACAGGGAGGAGGGAGGGTTTGTTGTGACAGTTTGTGAAAACATGTGTTTTTTGTCACTCAAATATCAGTATTTTTTTCTAACGTATGGGTATAGATAGATCTCTCATTTCTATAGAGTCGCCATTTATTCTAAATTTGTCAAGATTTGTTTTTTTTTAATTCATAGCCCAATCAACAAAATGTATTAAACATTTATTTTACCATGCAATTATTAAATAGAAAATTGTGGAAAAGGAAAACGACATTGAAGTATTACTTGACCCTATCCCTGCTGGGGTACTTGAAAACCAGGATACCACCCTACCTCGAAATTCCATGTTTGATGCCTAAATTTGACAAATGATACATCATTGGAAAGTTCTTGTGCTTGTACTTTTAGAATTTGCAAAAAATTGCAAATTTGCAAAACAAAAATTTTTTTTTGCAAAATCCAACTATATAGTAAACATGTAAAAAAATGGTCCAAAATATACATTTTTAAAAAGCCCTTGGCCATGCCATTTCAAATATGCAAAAATGTTTGCAAAATTTTAAATAACCTGATGTGTAATTTAGAAAAGCTAAAATTGTGCAAATTTCCTTTGACAGGTTCTTTGCAAATAATTTGCAAAAGTTTCTTTGCAAAACTCGTGCAATCAGTTTCCTTATGTCATAGGCTTTCCAAAAAAGCTAAAAGTTATCAAAATCTGACAACTAAAAGTGGGTCAAAACAAAGATTTTGAACAAAGGAAAAAGTCATTCAGGGAGTGTGCCTGAAAACTTAGACAGTTGCTATAAAAGCCGGGTTTTAGGTCTGAAGGGAGGGCTATGGGTATTTAGGAAAAGTCAGAAAATTTCAACAGCCTCAGACCAATACTTTTTGAGTTATGAAAAAAAAAACTACAGGGGGATCAAATTGCCCCCCCCCCCCCTTCAAGGTTAAGCGTATTTGATGTAGTTATTAAGCAAAAAAAATTATTTTAACTTATTAAATAGCTTATCAAATCAAATCAAAGTCAGAACTTGAATCTTAAAGTTATCTTCAAATTCCAGAGTTTTCTGGTTCTCACTGTAAAACAATGAATATTCTGGGTTCAGGAACATATTTGATTAATTGATATACATATACTTTACTTGTCTGTTTGTTTGTGACTGATAAATGTCAAGACGACTGAACCGATCGGGCCAAAAAATGTTGTTGGACCTCACATGATCCCAGCAAAGCTTTATGGATGGTTAGAATTGTAAAAATGTGCCTTCAAAAAATTCTGGTTTATCAAATCCACGAAAAAAAAACGACAAGAGAGCAACAATTAAAAGTTAAAATGGAGAAGCTGCAGCCTAGTATGATAAATTCCTAGGTGAAGGATACTCGCTGTGCTCGTCAGAACATCCACAGATAACCAGATAAAACAGAGTTCTGATCCAAGAATCCAGACGTCAATGACCTTAAAAAAATAATAAATGTCATGACGTGAAAGAATCTGGACGTCAATGACCTTTAAATACAAAATGTCATGACTGGTTTAGATAATTATAAACGTCAATGATAACACAAAAAAGTCATGGGATGAATAAATCAAGTTGTCATAAACCTTCAATTTTAAAAACGTCAAAACTTTAAATGACAGGCAATTTTTTTAACTAATAAAGTTAGAAGTTTTATACTCATTCAAAAGGGGGGGGGGGGAACCCTAAACATCCTAAACCTATATTAGACAAGAATTAGCCCCACTCAGAAATGGGTTTTACACAAATATATGTGTTTTAGATATAAAAGGCTGAAAGAAGTGACAAATCCAATTAATAATAAAAACTGGGATAAATCATTTAAATTAATTAGTAGTTCAGAGCTGAAAACTTTAGAATAGTTGATATCGAGATTAATGCTTAATCCGATCTTTTTCTTAATATCGAGACTAACCTAATCTTGTACTTGTATCCTGAAAAGTGTATACAATTCAACCAATCAGAGTCGCGTATATGAAGCCGATAAATTTAAATTTTGCACGTCATTCAAGATTATATACAGAAACGGAAGGGACTCTCTAATTTAAAAACCCGGTTTTTGATTTTTCTCTACTATATCCAAGAAAGAACGGTTTAAGAAGAAAATCAAAAGTGTGTCCATTGGATACTCAGATTAAGTAATCGGGAATAAGGATATTTCATTCTAAAGTTTTCAGCTCATGCCGAATATCAATACCAAACCAAGATGTGTCCCATTTCTAACACTGAGTGTATGTTTGTATAGAACAAAAATACTGTATATATTTATTTAAAATGGGTAATGCTACTTACATTGAAACAAGAAATGCCACCTTTAGACGAATAATATGGTAAATGCTCGAAAACAAGCATTGTCTTGAAAAGAGAATTAAGTATTTTAGTATGAAAAGATTTCTTGTGATGATTTCAGAAAATAATTTAATAATGGAACTATTGTCCTTGTCTGCTTCATAAAATGTTGGTTATAGTTTTTATTACTTTTACTATAGATTTATATCGGCCGGGAACCTAAAATCACAATGTTTCAACTTGTGCCCATTTCTAACACTCAAAGTGTTATTAAGGCAATAAACTAGTTTTAGAACTAATGTCCCCTGTAACTTGTAATAATTAAGTAAAGAAAACATAATCCTGCTGAATAAGCAAAATATTTGTTTTCTTTAATTTGCTTACCTCGTAAACTGCGCTCATTGGTAGAATTAGAACTCCTGAATATATATAATTAAGGGAATTGTCCTTGTAATTTCAAGTGTATCTTCGACAACTAGACAACTAAACAACTAGACAACTAGACAACTGGACAACTAGACAAATAGACAACTATACAACTAGACAACCAGACAACTAGACAACTAGACAACTAGACAACTAGACAACTAGACAACTAGACAACTAGAAAACTAGAAAACTAGACAACTAGACAACAAGAAAACTAGACAACTAGACAACTAGACAACTAGACAACGAGACAACTAGACAACTTGACAACTAGACAGCTAGACAACTGAACAACTTACCTAGTAGTAAATCTGCCACCGCTAATGATACTATCAGCAAGTTAGTTGCGCCTCTTAGTTTAGATGATATTCTGCACATTATTCATTAATTCATTTCATTTATTCATTAACTCATTTTAGTTATTCATTAACTCATTTCATTTATTCATTTATTCATTAACTCATTTCATTTATTCATTAATTCATTAACTCATTTCATTAATTCATTTATTCAATAACTCATTTCATTTATTCATTAACTCAATTCATTTATTCATTTATTCATATAACTCATTACATTTATTCATTTATTCAATAACTCATTTCATTTATTCATTATCTGTTTTTTTGATTGAATAATAAACTGAGTACTTCATATATATATTTATAAAAATTTGTAATCTCTGTTTATCCGGCTGTTTTTTTTGGTCCGATCATAACTCAGGAACCCCTGGACCGATTTTCCGCTAATTATGATTGGGGAACTCGGAGACCCACGGGGATGATCTTAGCTTGGTTTTAATATTCTAAGCTGAGTGGGTCGACTTTAAATGCGAAAATTTAGTTTCCCGGTAAAATGGTTCAAGTGCGGGTTAAACCACGGGAGTAGCTATGAGAATCAGAAACCTGAGCAGCGTTGGATTCCCAAGCTAGGACATTATGAGTATTACGTTTATCTTAATATAATAATATTGAGAAATATCGCTTTAAAGAAATAGCTAAGTGCGGGTCAAATTAAGTGTAAAGTTGTCCACACATTTTGTGTATTAAGGAACTGTCGTTTTTTATTTCAATTAACGTTATTTCTATGTATAATTCACAATGCACCCTTTATACTTTGATTTGATCAAAAATGTGTAAGATATTGTTGTTTATCATGAAAAGTTGATTAATTTGACAATTTCCTTTGTTTTTTTCTGGATCAGAATTCCGTAAGTCAATCCATAGAGATACGATTGAACATATCATATTAAAAATAAGTTATAATATTTAACTAAAATATTAAATGAAAACTGCCAAAAAGAAGTTAATGGTATAATGTATTATGTCTGCATTAGTGGGAGGATAAGACACTCTTATTTTCCATTTTGTACCAAACCCTCGCTTTATAATATATATTTTATACTAAAACTTAAACATTACCTTTTCAGAAAAAAACGTTATTAAAGGGACTGTACGCCTATTTTCAAGTGCTCCTCCATGCACAGATGACAATGCTCGATTTACGACTGTACACTTGAAACCTTGATCTGATAAAAAGGTAGAAGTTTTTATCGAAGAGAACCCGCAAAGAAAAATAAACAGTTTTAAGAAACAAAAACATGTAAATCTAATTCATACTTAATCAGACAGAGGAAACCATGGGTCAGTAATGTTTGTTAAAAGTTGATAAAATGTGTATTTAACACTTTCCAGTAAAAATACATTTACTAAATATGTTTTATGCAAGATAAGCCGTGAGAGTCAATGTTGCAATTCCCCTTTTTGATTTATTTTTCCAATTAAGTTTTCTTAGAGCAATTAATTAATCTATTAAAGAACAGGTAATTCATTAATTAATTTCCAATCAGGACTTTCGTTCTAAAATGAATGGAAACTATACAGTGGTCCCTTCTAAAATATAGGCACTGTAGTGATACGTAAAGTTTCAAGAGCAACCCTCTTTAGTCCAATTTACAACAGTACCCTTAAAAGCTTTAAATTAAGGTGAACATAACGTTTTAAACTTTAAAAATTAATTATCTCCAAATGTGGGTTATATTTAAAAATGACTTGCGTTTTTTGTTACAGAAACAATGGAGGAAATTATCATAATTGAACATTGATTTAGATTTAGTCCTCTGGATATATTTATTGCATGTTTATGTCAATTAAGCATAATTATTGATAATTATAAGCTAAAATCAACAGAACTGAAAGGATCAATGAATGGAGCAGAGAATGTAAGAAATTATGGTAGGATGAAAGGAATGAATGAATGAATAAATGAATTAATGTGTTCCTAACAGCTGATATCACCAAGATATTTCCAAAAGTAACAACGAGGCAGATTAGTCCAAGAGGAATTAAGGAACCCAGGCTCTGAAAAAAAAAATAATTATGCATCAACAAAATATTAAAAAGTATTTTTTTGTAAGAAAATTTCGTAGATTTTTCATTTTTTTGTATGAATTTTCTACAAAATGTTTTAGTAACATATTGGACTCAAACAAACATTAACTTTTTCAGAATTAGAAAAATTTAGCAAGAAGTTTGCAATACAAACAATTGAAACAAGATAAAAGTGCTGAGCTCATTCCTTTTGAAAAGTTGACGAAAGTTTTTAATTTGTGACAAATATAACCCCCCCCCCATCCTACTCTCTTTTTATCTATTTTCTAAACTATAAAACTTCATTTAGATTTTTTCTTGTATCCACGTTTTAAAAAAATTGAAAAAAATAAAAATTGAACTAGAAAGTCTTCTTCATTGTATTGATATAATCGCCTACAACCGCTTTGAGGAGACATCTTAAAATTTACATAATACATGTATAGATAAATACGAATCAGTTGCAACAAAAGCTGAGCAAATATTTAAAGTGGTATTTAAAATATACTGTAAAAATGTCATTGCCAATCCAAAATGACTTTTCCTTAATCCCCGAAAATAAATGTTTGAATGCAGTAAGGCATGATTGCAAAAACATGAAATGTTGAAAGGGGAATAAGATGAAATTTTTAAACCCGAAACAGGAAAGTTAAACAAATTAGGAGAATGAAATGTTAAAACCCTTGATATAAATAATTCTAATTTGGTCCAAACTAATTCAGCCTAGACTGGCGGTTTCTTCAACTTGAAATCAATCGAGTGCTTGTCTATGTAATTCAACAATCTTTACAGCATAGTTTTCATTTTAATACTTTTTTATTTCATCCGCCTATATAAACTTATAAAAGAGAGAACGTGATCATTTTGTATAATTGCTCAAATTGCGATCTAATTGTTTACTAACTATTAAATTAAGTAAGGTTAAGTTAAAAAATATGTTCTCCATTTGGTTTTGAAACTTTGAAGATTAATTGAACTTTGTCGTAAATTGCCTTTCAGAATTGTATTTAGATAAACCATTTCTGGTAAATTTTTGTATTAACCGATTTACTTTAAATATGTTCGGAAGAAGCCTAGTAAATTATCCTTTTTTTAGGTAATAAGTTCACAATCCCTTTCAAGTTTGTTAATAGAGTTTAAAAAACTACGGTTCGTTCACAAAACATGAAATGTTAAAGGACAGGGGAACTGTAAGTGTAATTTCAAGTGACCATACATGTAAAGTTGGCCGGCAATGCCCGAGTCGTGGCATTACTCTTGAAACCCTATCCGATCCGTTACATGAAATTTTTTTGTCGTTTTCAAGGTTTAAAAGTGTTTCATGTATGTAGAAATGCGCCAGTCACTTTTAATAGAAACCCACAATTGAAAGTAATTAGGTTTTAGAAGTAGAATCTCTGTCAATCGATCATTACTATCTTTCCAGAGCTGAAAACTTAAGAATGGGATATCCTTAATCCCGATCGCTTAATTAATCTGGAGATTAATAACAAGAGGAGAACAAGCATTATTTAATCTGGAAATTAAGTAAAAGAATGGATCAAGGATTAATCCCGATATCCACCATTTAAAAGTTCCCAGCTCAGGGTTGATTGAAATTTTGCTTACAGTACCTTTGACAAGGAACACGGATTCAGAAATTTCTTATACCCACTGTTAATAAAGGTCAATTGTTGGCTTAAAGTATTAAATGAAAGTACATACTTAGAATTGTATAATTTTACCGTTTCGCTGAGAGAATCGCCAAACTTTTTACCACAATACAGCACATAAATGTTCAGGAAAGGTAGTTAACATATGAATAAATTTATCGACCAATAAAGTACGTCAAACTAAAGTAGATCGAATGTAAGGTTGGGATATTATGTTTTAAAGATCTATTAAAGATCTATCGTATGTATTTTTTATATTCTATTCTGCGAAACTCACACTTGCGCTTTAAATCAAAACTAGAGGAGCTACGATGTCGTAAAGTCGTGTCAGAAATGTTGCATAGAATAATTTTTCTCCTTCTGTCTAGGTCAGTGCTGAAAAGCTACATTAATTTTTTTCAAAAGTCTAGGAGTTTCTGCAACCTTCCTTAACATAATTTGACTTATATGTAGGGCTGGGTGTCGTTCCTGGGGAAAGTTAGTTCTTTCTCGACTAAAAAACACCAAGAACGGAATGGAAAGTAACGTGGATGGAACGATTTTAAAAAGAACGAACGATAGCTAAAGGCCCTCGTTCTAGAACGGAACGGAACAATTTTTAAAAAAGTCCGAACGTCCTCAGCACTCAGTAGATGTGTGTATGTAAAGTGAAAGATGTGTTGGTTTGTAAGAAAAGTATTTTATTTTAATCAAACCAAAATTTGCTTTAAAGATTTTCCAGTTTTAATCATAAACTTTGAAAGCTTGTCACATTTTTATTTTTTTTAATCAATTTTAACTTTTATGAAAACTAAATGAAAAATAAGATTTTTGAAAAGTTAAAAATTTGAAAATTTTTTTTTTAATTATCTTTTAGGTAAATAAGTGAGGTTTTGAGGGTTTCATGATCAAAACATGGTTTTCTTAACTAATTCAAGATATCCTACCTCTGGATCCAACAGCTGGATCCCGGCCTGTGAACAGTTGATGGTTTGGTTTGGAAATCCTGTCGTCTTCGTTTCCTGCTCCAAATCCGCGGCAGTGGAGTACCGACCCGGCACAGCTGACGTAACATACCAATCTAGTTTATAAAATGATTTTAAAGGGGCGATGACGTAGTTTTGAATAAACCTCACATTAACAAAATCCGAAACTTGAAAATATGGGGAGGGTCTCTTTAAACTGTCATTTTTAATAAATTACTATTCGACTTAAAGGGGACTGTAAGCAATTTGACTTATGGTTTTTAGGTGACTCTCCTTGCAAAGATGGCAATGCCTGGTTAACTACGGTGCTTTAAACCATAATATGATTAATAATGATAAAGATGTTGTAGTTTTTCTAGACTTAAAATCGTTTTATTCTAATTATTTCTTTATGTCTTTCTTTAGTAGAAGTTTTTAAAATTATGAACATTGATAGATTATACAATTAATCAGACAAAGCTTTTTGGGTATACTTATGAATCAGTCATTTTCATTTTTGCAGAGTGGGTCACTTAAAATTATGCTTTTAATCCCTTTAATCACATCTTTTTTTTGTTTATTACCTGTAAAATTCACTTTCATGCTTGATTGTGATTTTTCCTCATCTTTTAAAACCAATATTCTGAAAATAGAGAAATTATAAATATTTCTATACAAAAGGGTCAAATTCATATTCTAGAAAAAAAATTACAGAGATTTAAATATATAGGATTTTAGTTCACGGGCAGCCGTAGTACATTTGAATTTCCGAGCCTGGTCAACCTCTCCGGTCCCAGTTTGTACTGTATCTAGCTCTATGGACAGGACCAGCTGGTGCGACAAGGTTGACGTGGTCAGACTTTATGCTTTATATAGGTTTAATTTACTTTTACTAAAGGGGCAGATGTGCGCGGTTTGAAAATATGTATTGCAGGTTGATAGATAAATTGTGTCTAAATGAACATGACACTTATAGGACGACCTGCAAATAGGGATGGTCACTTAACGATTGTTTTATAGGTGATCGTTTTAAAACGAAGATTTTAAAAAAAAATCTTAAAACTATCGTCTATCATCTTCAAAAGAAAAAAGATTACTTTAAGAAAAAAATTTTTCGTTTGATGTTTTTTGTGACACTTTTTGCTGTATTCCCAAACAGAAAAATTGTTTTTTTTTCGGTTTTTATGAATTGTATTTTTCTACAAATTTGGCGGATTTATCTTGAATTGTTTAATATTTTATTTCTCAGGTTTGTTTGAAACATAAATAATGATTTTATTGAAAATATAACACTCAAGAAAACACTTGAGTTTTTATGTGTCTTGCTTTAATGAAAATTGTGGTAAAACATTTTCCTGTATTGAATATTTTTCTACATCATACAGTCGTAGTCGCATATATCAATACAATGAAGACGACTTTTGATTACATTTAGCTTATATTATGAAAACAAAGAGAAGCTGTCGACTTAAAGCTTTCTCTTTAGTTACGAATAAAGCTTGTTAACAATCAAAACTTAAATAAAGATTTGTCTTCATTGCATTGGTATAATCGGCGACCACTGTTGATAAATTTATATTGTTACTACAGATTATACTGAGGAATAGAAAGACGACTGTTAGACCCAAGTTATAACTTTGAATAGTCTAAGGGACCTGATTAACAATCACAGTGCAATATACTCAGACCCATTTCACTTAAAAAGTTTATTTTCAACCATTTTATTTAAAGCAATATCAAATACTTATAAGATTAATTTATAACCGTCTTCTTATTGCACTTTTTTAATAATTCATTTTATATATACAGCTTACAATTTGAAAAAAACTATGTAATTGTTTAGGCATTGGATCATACAGTCCCTTTAAAGGTACTGTAAAGGAAAATGAAAGGGGATACAGGCTGAAACCTAAGCAATTTAGGAGTTGATCGAGAATTGAGACCCATGAGAGTTCTATCTAATGTTCCTGTCTCGAGAAATTGATATAACTCTGTCTCAAATTTTTAGGAAAATCTATATATATATATATAATTTTGTATAAAAATAGTAGGTTTAAACTGATGATATTCAGCAAATACACAACCAATCTGAAAACGACGATATCCCAAAGGAGCCTAAGAAACTTACTATTTTTATACAAAATTTTATTTATATAAATTTTCGCATAAATTTGACACAGTTTTATATCAATTTCTTGAGACAGAAACATCAAATAGAACTCTTAGGAGTCTCAATCAACTCCTAAAATGCTTAGGTTTCAGCCTATACCCCCTTTCATTTTTCCTGTACAGTCCCTTTAAATGTGTGAAAACTCCGAGTAAAGATACATATTAAGATTATGTCAGCTTTATACAATTTATGTATCGATCTACATATTTATTATTCAGCGAAACTGTATAATCCTAATACTGAATCAAAAATCTGAAAATCTGAAGAAAAAAAATCAAAAAAAAAACTAAACGCTTTTTTCCAATTTCTTCCTCCACTTTTATTATAATTTTGCTCCATTTTTTATGAGATTATTGATCCTCCAACCAAAAAACATCTTAATTTTAAAAAAGCGTTCCACTTTTCAGTAATTACGTAAAGTCTAAAGTAAGAATTACAAGACATGATCAAGCTTCTATATTTATAAGCTAAATACTTTGATTGTCTGAACGTCAAAACGGATGAACCGATCGGGCCCAATGACCCCAGGGAAGGTTTATGGAACATTAAAATTGAAAAAAATGCCTGGAATATTGTTGGATTTTTTATCTTTGAAAATGCACCAATTTGAAAAGAAAAATCCGCCAAAATTTGAAAATTATTGAAAATGACCGACTATTTAGAGGGATGGTTGATCAGTTCTTTAAATCGTAAACTGTGTACCTACTACCTATACCATATATAACCTATACCTCACTTAATGGTGAAAAATATTGTTATGCAAATTAAAACATATATTATTTAATCCCTACAATCTATTACATCAAAAATGTATTTTGAATTAAAACAACATGTTAGTAAACCAAGTGTGTAAAATGTAATCTTAGAAAATAAAAAGAAATATTATAATTTAAAGATTTTGGTTGGGGATGGGATTTTGCATTCATTTTTTATTAAAGAATGTTTAAGAGAAACATATTGTATTGCATTCCTGGAAAAGACTGAATAAAAGAACTGATAAAATTAGTGATTATAATTAGTATGCATTACATGTAACTCTACAACCTCGCACTAATGACTATCTGTATATTCTCTATTCATGCAATACAATAAAATAAGTTATAAATACTTTCCTTTATCTTGTCTATATAAAATAAAATTCTAAAAATAACATGTTTTGCACTTTTTAGCGATTAAATAGTAATAGATCTAATTCCAAGTGACCAAGTGTAAGGTCCGATTCATAACAGCACAATTTAAACCTCTTTGTAAGTAACATCAACGTGATCAAAATCTGGACAAAAACTTAAGATTAAATTATGCTTGAGATTAATAAATTGAGATCAAGCATTGATCTCAAAATCCACAACTATAAAGTTTTCAGCAAAAAAAAATTTTTTAAGTGATTTTATTTTGACCCCCCCCCCCCCCCCCCTCAGCAGTTTTGGGCTAAGTTTGAAAATGTAAGTGTAAAAACAAATTTATTTGAGCGGATTATGTGAGATATAACTGTCCTATTATTTTCTTCCTTGGACTCATTCTTTTCAAATCCCTCCCTTTCTGTTTTCAGAGACATAAATTTTACTCGAAACAAAATACATGTTTACCCACTGTCACACAGACTTGTCTGCAAAGATAAATGTCTGGGGAGAAATCGGATAAAATTTAGCTAGATTTCCTGGATACAATTTCCTGGATACAGCTGTTTCTTCCTGGATACAGTTTCTTCATGGATACAGTTTCTATAGATACAATTTCTTCCTGGATACAGTTTCCTGGAAATAGTTTCCTGGTTACAATTTCCTGGATACAATTTCTTAGATACAGTTTTCTGGATACGGTTTCCTGGATACCGTTTCCTGGAAACAATTTCCTGAATACAGTTTCCTGGATACAATTTCATGAATACAGATTCCTGGATACAGTTCCTGGATACAGTTTCCTGGATACAGCGCTTGGATACAGTTCCCTGGATACAGTTTCCTGGATACCGTTTCCTGGAAACCGTTTCCTGGATACCGTTTCCTAAGACAATTTCCTGGATACCTTTTCCTAAAACAATTTTCTGGATACAGTTTCCTGGGTACAGCGCAATTGGATACAGTTTCCTGGATAAAGTTTCCTGGAAACAGTTTCCGGGATACAGTTTCCAGGAAACAGTTTCCGGGATACAGTTTCCAGGAAACAGTTTCATGACACAGTTCAAAAGTGAATTTTGAGGATTTGTTTTTATATTTCCCGTTCATTACTACGCAAAGAATTTGATACATTTCCCAGTTGTATCATTAAACAATCTATACAGAGTAAATGAATAAAATACTAAACGAAATAAAAAAAGAAATAAAAAACAAAACCTGATAACGTTTCTTCGTTTTCTCTTAAATATTTAATCTTAATCTAAAGTTTTGATCATTAGCAACTAGAACCCCCCCCCCCTATAGTTAACCCCCACCACCAAGTTCTACTTCATATTATTGATCAGATGGTTTTATCTCTACAAATCTAAGAAAATCATACATACAGGGTTTCCCACACCGAATGAGACTGAAAAGACGAATTGAAAATGTTCAAATAAGGTCCTCTCCTCTTCTTTGAATCCTTAAATGGCTTATTTAATGATTTGGCAAAGCAAGAAAAAGTTTATACATAGTTGAAGGAACAATAATAACACGAAATAGACAAGATATTCTGAAATCTAGTCAACTATATTATATATATAGTTGAAGGAAGAATAATAACACGAAATAGACAAGATATTCTGAAATCTAGTCAACTATATTATATATATAGTTGAAGGAAGAATAATAACACGAAATAGACAAGATATTCTGAAATCTAGTCAACTCTATTATTATTAAGAGTCTTGACTTTAATGTCGTAACACCATGGCTTTTGGTTTTACATCACACACTCACAAATCCTTTTTTTTATCCCTTGACATATACATTCTAAAAATGCAATGACTTATTTATAGCGTAAGTTCTAAAGGAGTAATTGGAAAAATACTGCCAGATTATATAAATGATGTTTATTCAGCTCAAAAAAAAAAACACCGTCAGCACCAATAAAAAAATTAGAAAAAAAGAATTTACTTTAAGAGTAACTAGCTAGTTTATAATCAAACATTGCAAATTATATAAAAAGTTGAATATACAAATATTTGCATCTTTTAAATATTGTTTTGCAACGTCAGTGAATTTTTTTTTTAAGTTTGTGAAATTTTGTTTTTCTTTTCAGAATTTTGAAGACAAACAAAACTTTTAAATACTTGCATATTTTTTTTTAAATCGTCGGGTGGTTCACTGTAAACACAAATCGAGAAACCTACAGAAATTATTTTCGATATTTGCAGAAAAAAAAGGTATTCTTGCGTGATTTACAGGTTCCGATATTTCATGTAAGCAATTAAATTAAAGAATAAGAGTCTCTTAAATCCAGAACCTTAATTCAGTCTCTGTTGTTAAATTCTAATATTCTCATAATTATTAAA